ATAATTTATGTGCTTTGCTTGTGCAACTCCAACATGAACATGTATTTCATTTTTTTTAAATTCTGAATTAATTCCCAATGTCTCTGTCCAACATATTTTAAAATCATATTAAAATCCACCAATGAACTGCGATAGAGAAATTAAGTTGCTCTCTTCAACATGATGAGTAACCACTTAAAAACCTAAGTTTCGCAGTTTGCTGTGTGATGATTGCACATGTATTGGAAAGCTCTGCAGAATTCTTCCCCCCCCCCAATATGAAATCTGTGAACTTGTGTTAGAGCAAGGAATCAACCACTAAACACTGACTTCAAAGAGAGTCAATTCCTGTAAAAGAGTTTAATTAATCATGATTCTTATTCCAAAGTTTTGAACCAGTCCTATTTACAAGTTTTTGAAATGAATCTAGTTCGTTAACTCTGGCACAAAGCTGCTCACTGCAGGCCCACTGTTCTTGTTTGGCCCCTGTTTCACCTTTAAGTGTGATGTCATCATGACAATCTGGGCTACTCCATCAAAGCTTTCAAGACACTTCCTTCCCTAAAAATGTACCCCCAACCTGTACATGTCTCCGCATACATGTACATGTAGTAAGATGTCAAGTCTTGGGTCTAATGCCATACGGGCATGCCAAAGTGTTAAACTGCAGGTCACAATGTGAGCGGTCCATTGAGAGCCCAAAGAAATCAGATGTCACCACTACCAGTTGAATAGGGTGATTGGAGTAAAAAACAAAAGCATCCTGCCCACATGTGCAGTATACAAGTCCATTTATGATCATTCTTGCATTAGGAAGAAAGAAAGAAGATACATGGCACCGTACACGTACATATGTGCATCCATCTGTTCATTGTTGAAGAATTACGTACATGTATCAATGTTAACAGAAAAATGTATAAAACATGTACATGTACCGGGCGGTATGTGTATTTAGGAATATGAATCCACATGAAAGTTCAACACAATTTGGCTCACTCTTGATGTGTGATACATACATACGCGATGATGTACATATGTACACGTGTGCAAACGTACAGTACATGTACAAGTACATGTACATGTACTTTGTCTTAGATTGGTTAAGCCTGTGTCTTCCTGGAATGGGCATTATACAATCTGTGTCAACATCCTCAAAGTGCTGTACTCACTTTACACATATGGTACTACCACTTACAAATGAACGTTGCACTGAGGGCAGTGTGCATTGTACATACATGGTTTACGTAGGTAGTGACATGCTTAGTGTAAGTGAGGATTTCAATCTGGGGCAGATTATGCAAAGTGGCAAGTGGATATTTCAGAGAATACTTGTTCGTTTACCATGAACAGAAAAATTATGAAATCCTTTGGATTTTGTAATGCACATACAAACTGATACATGCACTGTACATGTGTAATGAACATGTACCAGTACTGTACACACATATGGTATACACGTACAGTATACACGTACGTGTACATATGTACACATGTACTTTTGTACATAATTTGTCGCATCAGTGCAACAAGGTTGTAACTCGGATTTCCCTCATCTGGAATAATTCTTATTTTAAAACCATGTAAAGTTTTCCTTGATACGAAACATGAAGAGAAAATTATATTTCAAATCAGTGAAAAACCAACATGGTGCCACAAAAGTTTAAAATCAGAATAATTCGAGATGAGAGAAATTTGAGTTACAACCTTGTTGCACTGACGCGACGAATTGTGTAGATTTCACATAGGAGTGTGTACCATGGCTATACCATGTACCGGTATGATGTACTGTGGAGTACACTTGGCATAATTGAACCATGGAGGAATGATTGAACTAAACACTAAGCAACTTTTCCATGGAAATGAAAGCAAGTAAAAAGTTAATAAATTTACATGTAATACATGTATTATGTACATGTACAGACAAACTGCAAGTATACAATGTAGAATGCACAGTTCACATAATGTTTCTTGTTCTTCATCAACATGTACCGGTACACATGTGTTGGACTTTATACATATGTACACATACTTCTGTTGATAGGTTCAGGAAAGATAAAGCCTTTAATTTTGGTGCATGCGTGACTTTACTTACTTAACTTCAAATTGTCTTGGTGTCGCCTTACAGTTCAAATTTAACAAAAGAATGGTCATGAATGGACATGCATGCAACTTGCATACCGGTACGTGTACATGTATAAAGCACATGTAGTACATGTAGGTTTTAATAAATTTGAATGCCCTTTTATCTGATTTTACAAATGAACGGGTTGTTTTCAAAATTTTGCCCAAGGGCCGGGGTCAACTTAATTTAATATCCAACTTTATTTATGTTGGACACTTCCCGCTGTTTGCTAATGTGCATATTTACAATGTGCATGTACATACATACAAGTGCGTTCATGTACCTGTACGTGCAGTGTGCAGGTACAGGTGCACCTTACAATGTACTTGCACATTTGTATTTATCTTCAAGTAAAGTTGAATCCTCGATCCTGATTGGTCGATCCATGACAACAAGCCGTGCTACATATACATGCATCCATGTAGCACGGCCTCGGTCCATACCGCACTCCGCGTATTCTTCTGTTCCAAGATGCGAGCGACATTCCAGCTGCATATGCTAAACTGCTGAATGTCCGTGTAAAGCGTGCGCGTTCCAACTGTACTGTGCATCAAGTTTGCTTGAAGATAAATTCGTTATCACGCTCGCACTCGTGGAACACGGAAAATGTAGTGCGTCTGTGTCCCACATACAGACGCACTACATTATTCCGTGTGCCACTCGCGCTCGCGGGATAACTTACATGTATAGTATACACGTATTGTTGGATGCAGCATACAGTACATGTACATGTAGTACACATTGGTTACACATCCCTTGCCACTGATGTAAAGGTTGGGGAGGGGGGGACCCCCAAATTTTTAAAACAAACACTGTAAATAAATATGAAATTTATTTGTACAGATGCTTTACTGTTTACATAAAAAACTTAGTAAACAGTGCTCCATTGTAAGTGAGTTCACTGTACGATGAAAGTCCATACAATGTACATGATACATCATGTGCCCTTTATTTACAGAAAGTGCAACCTTTGTGCTGTGACTAAATTTCTTATAAAGCTACCGTAACACTAATTACGTATCCACTCCTCTACATAAACGGTGATCAACTACATTAGGCCATCAGCCTGGGGCCTTGGTCAGTATCAATTGAAGTGAATAATGCATATTGGGATTTTTGGCAAGGTATGCACCCCTGTATATTTGGAAAATATGTGATAGCATTGTAGCTGTGGCAGCTTTTTGGGTGCTATCACTTTTAAAAAAAAATGCGGCCAAAACATGCTTGTTATCACATTTAATTAATCCGATAACAAGCAAATTGGCGGCCATTTTGAAGAAAAAGAAGTGATAACACCCAAAAAACTGCCTCCGCTCACACTGCAAAGCTGTCACACATTTTCCAACTCTACATGTAGATGTGCATACCTTGCCGAAAATCGCTGTGAGCATTGCTCCTTTCGATCATTTGATACCCGTGGCCCAATTTTTTGGACCGAAGCTGATAGCCTACATGTAGTCTTTGGCACATGTAGTGAAATAATGTTGAATTGTACCAATATTGCATAAGTACGTACATGTACAGTAAATTTGCAATACACTCATACATGTACAGGTACATGTACACTTGTAGCTCGCTTATTAACCATTAACCCCCTCCCCCCCCCCCCAGCGTACGGTTTGTACGCTCATGAAACTGTTGATAATTGTAAACGGCCCCTAATAGTGTTAACCTTTATTTTGTTGAATAGAAGTGATACTGGTACTAGAATTTGTTGACCAAGCAAAGTGAAGTGACTAATATATTTGCATTGTATTTTGTGGTTTGGCCAAGACTCATTAAAGTATGTACTTTGACACAGTTGAACATGTATGGGTGTATACATTTGTAAGTTTTCATGCATACTCATACAAATTTCTGCATTTCAGTGTCTCCATGTTTGTATACTGGGTTACTATGTATGTGTGTAAAAAATTTATATATTTTCAGGCCTGACCTTTCAGGGACATTTTGGCTTTTCTTTTTCCACAGCAATGAATAGTAAACAGTGTTGGCCGAGAAATTAATGTTCAGAATGGTGTACAATGTACAAAAATGTACCAGTATGTTCCCACATTGTAGTCAAGGACAGCTGTGCAGTGTTATACTAACATTGTCCTTAGTCTAGAAAGGCCAAGGTTATGGAATACAAGATGGAGTATTCTTACATTGTACTTACTACATATGTTCTACATTGTAGTACAAAGAGAAAGAATACATATATCCAATGTCATTTACATGTACACTGTACATGTACATGTACATTTACGGTACAATTAGGAGTGTGCTACGGACCCGCGGACCCAACCGCTGATGTCAGGAACCAGTTCCGGCTTATGGGATCAGGTGCCTGTAACCAACTATACAAATTACTTAGTAACTTCTCAGACAGTGAAAAAAGAAAGGTTTTGAAAGCCATTTGTGTGGGAATTTTCAAAATGAAAACCTGGCTACACTGAAAACCCAAACAGATTTTACATTTATGTGCATTTGAGAGTGCAACAAACAGATGATGCTCGCGAAAGTTGCGCTTGACGACGTAAAGCTGTAATGCCCTTCAGACAACTTCCGGGATTTGAATGTTGGGGTTGGTTCTTTTACGGGTACCCGTGTTTATATTTCAATAGGATACCCAGTTCCCGTTCTACCTAGAAATGCACACCATTATGTATTGAACATACATTGTTTGTACATACATGTACATTGTACTATGTATATTGTGTTGATCACTGAAACATATCACAGGAGTACACTTTCTTGTTGTACATGTACATGTATTCTGTTGTCTAACCGGTAGATTAATGTTGTCTTTTTAAATTTATCAAGCACCACATTTTTGTGCGAAAATGACAAAATATCAGTATTTACATAAAATGTACATAAAATTTAAATTGTTTACTTTTACTTTATTTTTTTTCAGCCCCATTGTGAAGCGAAGGATAGACGCGATGGTAGTAAGTATGCTAATAATTTCCTGTTTTGGGTGAAGAAGTATAATGAATCCAAGTACATGCTTGATTTCACTTGTCGGTGTTTTCCCCCATAGTGTACATGTACATGTACTTTGTTTACTTAATTGGAAAAGGTTATAATCAGAAAATAGTCAGCATTGTCCTGTGGCCATATAACTGCCTTAGTCTCTGTCTGATTCCCTGACCTGCCACTGCCCTGACGACTCATTATAAATGGTAGGTCAGGTAGCTTGCCATGGTTAAAAATAGAACATGACACACAGTGTCAAGGAAAGCTACACATAAATTTAGATGCACATGGTGATTTTTTTTTCTTCATTTGGTTGCACATGTGCATGTACATGCACATCCAGTAAACATAAATGTTTTTCTCGATTCGAGCTTCAATTGATGGAAAATTGAAAAATTCAAGGAATGCCAAAATTCTTTTTTCTCTTCTAAAGATACCGGTACAGCTCAATTACACTAAAAAAACAGTAGAAAACATCATATAATAACTTCAAGATTTTGGAAAATTTTGAAATATTGGAAATGTTTTTAATCGTAAGAAATTATTCCCCATTAATTAATCAGTCGTGTCAGTTGGTAATGTCGGCAGCCTGATCTTATCAACCGTCACAATCATTTGGTCTGGGAACCAGACTTATCAAGGTGTTCAGGTGTTTTGGTTGGCCAATGTCGTGTAGTTGCTACATGTATGCAGAAAATAAGGCTAAGCATATCACAGTAACGTTCCCCATGCTATTTTCAAGTTTGATCCTGAAAACATAGATTTTGTTTCTAAATTGCTATTTTTCTAGCAATTGATACAAAAGTTATTCACTGTCGAATGAGACATCGACCGAGGTAATCGGCCCACATTTAGTTATTGAATTATTACTTTACAATTTTGAATTATTGGCTGCCAGACAATGATTCCGTTCTCACGGGGTAGGCTGGTTCCCATCCAACAATTGAGTTTTTTGGCTATAAAATGTACAAGTTGAACATTTATTAATAGAAAAAAAGCCAGCTCCCCAAAGTTGTGTTTTTATTTTTTTTTAAACGTGCTAAACTAAAGACTTCGTAACTCCATTCATGTATGGTAGGATCACAAAATTTGTTAAACTTGTTTGAAATGTTTTCTTGCAAAATTTTTGTAGCATTCTTCCTTGTAGGAAGTTCAGGTTCAACCCATTAGGCCTACAATTGATTTTCAGATAGTGGTTAGCCCTGATATTTCCTTGTGTGTTGTTGAGTGCAAATGACTTAACTAAACCGCACGTAAATATCTTGTTTAGCCAAAGGCATGGTAGAATTTACAACAGCAACATCAACATAAATGCTAGGTTCATGACTTGTTACGATCCAAATCCTGTGCCATTTTAATCATGAAATAAGTGTAAACAAATCCATATATTTGAGCTACAGTTTGCGCATTGATTTCAGCTGAAAAATTACATGTAAAACAACACCAGGATTTGTGCATTTGTGAAAACTTTTCATTGGTGGATATAATTTTGTGAAGAATTCATTTTGTTTCTGACAGTGCAGAATGTTAATTATGCAGTTTCCTTACGGTGCATTTCAAAAGAGCCATTACACTAATCGAGTCCATTTTCCGCTCAACTGCACTTATAGTGTGCATTTAATGAGGTATAATGTACATCAATATGATCATCCTTTCCTCCAGGCCGAAGTCAATAAGTTCAATGACCTTGAGAAGCTGCTGTTGTACCTGAAGCTGCCGACGGGCGTCAGCGGGTTCGATTCCAACCGGCTGAAAAGGTGAGGTCGTTGACCGGTCACTGTCGGACTTCTGCTCGCAAGAGTCTCAATATTTCGCACATGTATGCGTTAAAGGCACATGAAGGATCATTTGCATATCCCAAAAGTAACCTACCAAATTCTTACTTTGCTTACTTGGATTAAAGATCGTACTGGTGCTAAAATACCCCATGAAATTATTCTGTTTGGCTTGCTGTCATTTGGAAGAAATCAAGAAGTGTACTGGTAGGTGATTTCCAAGGATGAGTCAATTGACTGATTTTTGGAGGAAAAAAAAAAGAGTGCAATACATGCAGACGAAATCGTGTTTACGATCAAAAGGTTGTGCCTGGTTTGTCACTGTTTTCTCGAAAAGTGTACTATCCACTGAGCTGAAACTTCAACAGCTTTAAGTTTTAAACTTTCTTCTTTGGATTTTGAGTGGTGTTATTATTGGAAACAAACAAGATGCATGAAAAGCAAATGATCCTTCATGCCATTAACATAGGGCGATATGTCGATTTCCGTAACAGGCATATTTTGTTTCTATCTGTATATGATACAGTTGAATTGTTTTACATGTAGATATTGAAGCTAGATCTGTTGGGAGCTTTCATTTATTTCCCCTCCTTGTGTATCTACATACATTTACATATATACAAATCTTGACAGGGGCAGGAATTTACATAGAGGTGATTTGAATGAGTTTTTACCCAGGTTTGCAGGGTTCCAACAGCCTTGGAAAAACCTGAAAAAGTCATGGAAATTTGTGAAAATGACAATTAAGTCGTGGAAAAGTCGTGGAATATTGCGAGGACAAATTTATTTTAAATTGTAACATTTGTATACTGGTACATGTAATTTAGCATTGGAAATTGAATTCTTTATCCGATAAAATGCGACAAATTTGGCATGTTGGCATAATTGGGCAATTTTGTTTCTGTTGAGCACTTTTCATGGAACAAGTTTCACAGTTTTGATCTCCATTTTGATGGAACTGCATGTCATAGATTTTCATAATTTGGTCGTGGAAAAATCCTGAAAGGTGTAGGAACCGTGGGTTTACTTTAAGCAAATTATTGTAAACATGTTTTGTAAACAAGTGTTTGTTTACACTGTACATGTAACTGATTTTATGAGAGTAAATTTACCAACCCACAACCTCAAGATTGCTTACTACTAGTGCATAGTCATTGATTTCACTATACGCAATGCTATATTGGATTGGACTAAACCGATCCATGAAGCCCCGCCCCATGAAGCCCCACCCCATGAAGATTTGACCAATCACAGCCTTGATTAATGTCCGACAAGCGTGCACAAATGCATGCTAGGAACCATCCTCAACCCTCCAAAATCCTCCAAAAATTGTGCACTTATGTCCAAATGAAGGATATCCACTGCCTCAATCCTTCAAAATCCTCCAACAGCCCTGCCTCTTGAAGTGCATTCAGCCTCAATCCTCCAAAATCATCCTCTCCTTTAAACACTGTTCAGCCTCAATCCTCCAAAATCCTCCAAACCGCCAGGAGGACTTTGGAGGATTGAGGAAGGTTAGGGTTAATGGATTGGTCCATTGCCAAGCTAACCTGCAACAAGCTCAGTGGTGAAGTGACATGATGAATACACTAGTAAGCAGGTGATGGGGAAGGGGGGGGGGGGGGGGGGTTTCGAGCCCTACACACGCAAGTTTTGAATTTTGTTCTGGCAAGCTCTCAGAAAGCACCAAGTACACACTATACAAATTGAAAACGGTGAAGGGTAAAACCGGATTTGGAACTCAGTGTCATACAAAATGCTGTCCTCTACTCTCCCACAGCTCATCCCCCTCGCTAGCGGTCACCCGCATCGAGCAGACGCAGGCTTTCAACTGGATCCGGAGTCATCTGGAGGAGTGCAGCGATACGTCGCTTCCTAAACATGAAGTATATGAGGACTATCGGTATGTCTTGTCAGACTCAATTAGTTTATGATGTGATTGATCAAAATGTATTGAAGTGCAATCCAAATGTTATAACTGATGCAACACATCAGTTTCTTTAGTACACATTTTCTGTACTTGTGGGCATCCAACGTTTTTGAATAAAATAGGGTCTCTTCACCTAGATGACTGTAACCTCTTTCTCGACTCTTTGTATTCAAAATTAATTGCCTTAACCCTCTTTGTTTTCGGCGATTCACAACCCTCAAGTTTGTAATTTCAATTTTGCTCATAGAGTTAGCGACCACACTTGAAATTCCTTTTGTGGAGAACGGACAATACTTTCAAGTCCCTGCACAATTCTTTTGTGTGGTTAAACTCAGGGCAAGTAGGCAGATTCGGTCACACTTCACTGCTGTCCACAGGCTTTTTTTTCGTGTGTGCAGTGACTCTCTGTGTGACACAGTTACTTTAACACTTCATATCCCTTCACCTGAACTTGACCTGCAGGGTTTTTAAAGTGTTTGACATATTGCTCTGAATGTTGACTTCCCACTAGGAGGGTTAATTAGATGGAATCAAAACAATATGTTATGATGGCTCATCTTCAGCAGGCACCTGTTTGAGCCAATAATAGTTGCTCACTGTAGACCTAGTTGCCTTTAATAATTAGATGTAATTACACCAAAGTGCCATTAGTCTTGAGCTGATACATGTATATCAGATTATCTCCTTAAGCTAATATACAGCAGGTTCTGAACCCAAAGAGTTAAATGCATATAGGATCATGTGCTTTTCATGTATTTTGTTCATTTCCAATACTAAAACTACTCCAAATCCAAAGAAAAATGTTCAAAACCTAACCTGTTGAACTTTAAGCTCAGTGGATATTACACTTTTCAAGAAAACTGGGACGAACCATACTTAACTTTTTGATCCCGAAACATGATTTCGTCCGTAGCAATCTTTATTCCAAAATTAGTCCGTTGACTGATCTTTGGAAATCACCTAGATTTCTTGATTTCTTCCAAATGACAGCAAGCCAGACGGAATAATTTCACAGGGTGTTAAGTACCAAGTACGATCTTTAATCCAAGTAAAGTTTTGATAATAATTCGGTAGATTATTTTTGGGATATGTGCAAAATGAACAGACACTGACACTGACAGCATGGCTGTCGTGCAGTTTTCTTTTACAGTTTTGATTTGGTAAAACACTTTGTGACAAGACATAACAGCATACAAAAACCACGAGGTAGAGAATCATTGGTTGGATACTATCCACTTCTTGTCACGTGTTTTGACGTGACTGGATGGGCAACTCTAGTGTCATGTCATGCCCATAAATTAAAAGCTTAGTGAGTAAACCTGAAAATATATATATATTTTGGAATCTCATACATGTACATGGTACATCCATCATCTAGTAATGGTCAAGGTGGTTACAGACTAGAAGTTTTGGGTCATTTCTCTGAATCAGTAATTAGAAATCATGGTTAAATTGGCTTTGTCGTGGACATTGCCATTCCTTTCATAGCGGTGATATGCGCTATATAAGAATGTTTTTTATTATTATTATTATTATAGCACTGGCATTGTCCTACTCCCAACCTACTCACAGTTTAATACTTCCTTGTTTTTGTGGTTTTTATTCTTGTTGCAGCTTGCACTGTGATTCGGCCACTCGTCGGGTCTTGAGCCCCGCAGACTTTGGCAAGATCATGAAGAGTGTCTTTCCCCAGGTCAAACAGCGACGTCTTGGCACACGCGGAAATGCCAAATATCCTTTATATTGCTTACACAGCTGTGCTCTGTCCTATTTAATCCATTGTCGATAATCCACTTTTCAACAGCATTGATGGTACATCTACATTAGTTAAAGGTTTCTGCAGTGTTATAGTCAAATCCATCATCACTAGTTTATCACAGGATAATTCAGAAGTCGAATCACTAATCAACCACAAGTAACGGGATAAACTATGACTAAGGAGTGTGGTTTTAGACGAGACTTGACTTGAAACTGAATGATTTATAATCATGAAGGGCGAGATATATCAGCATTTTTTTTCACTGTGTTTATGCTGAACAAAATGAATGGCTAATTTAAGGGTTGCCTTCAGGCAAATACTAACATATACGCCCAGCAACCCTCAAATCCTCCACCAATTCTTTCGTGGATTTTTCATTTTCCCTCAATCTTACCCTTAATAATTGACTTTGGAGAACTTTTGATCACTTGACTTCAGCATTTTTAAATCACAATTTGCTAAGTCCTGGACTTTTTCCTAAAGGAAATTTCAGAGAAACTGATGAAGGGCTCTGTAGACATCTATTTTCCCTTCTTTTTCCTCAATGACTTTTCCCTCCTAAAAACATTTCCCCCTCCCCAACTCATGTGAATAGAGTTCCTTGTTTACATTATTTTGTCTGTGAACTTTATACAAGCCAAACAAGTCATTAATTACCCTTGACTTTTCACACGTATTGCTACAGCGGCCTACGCAAAAAAAGTGAGATCCAGCCACCATTACTGCCAAGTATGGAATCCCCACGCAAAATTGGACCAGTAAGTAATAAAGGGAAGATACAACATTTGCAAACATCAAAAAACGAAATGATCAAATTATCACGAAATACCTTACTGAATTGTTAGGGACTGACAGTCCGAATCATCCTTTAAAATCATGGCTCCTGGTGTGCTGACATTTTCAAGAAAAACTGTATTTTTCCAACGCTGGTCGGCCGACCAGCGTTGGAGAAAACTGGCTTTTTTTCAAAAACTGTCCCTAAGTTTTCATATTTAGTTATTCTGACTTTTCTTTGCAATTGATTACACACCTGTGAAGGGGTACAAGCCTGCTAGACTGATTCTCTGAGCCTACAATTCCCCAAGTGTATTAATTGCTCTGTTTCATTTTAAGTGGGGTCAGGGAACCAGACTACAAGAACATGATAGGTTTTCTTGGTTTTTCCAGCGTCTACAAGCCCAAAACGTGAAACAAATCAGTTTAACAATATTTTCTATAACATACTAATCCTCCAAATCCATATATTTCTGAAAATTACAGCAAAAGCAAATGTTGTACATTCCCTTTAAGCTAACAAAACACATGTATGGGTTCATGCTGGAAAGACATACATTCATTTATAGCATTTGAAAACAGACAATTGAAAAAAAAAAAAACATGCATTAATTTCATAGTTCTTCCTGGGTTTACAACAAATTTGACTGAATTTTAATGTCATTCCTTTATCCATCCTTACTGAAAATATAGTTGTAGTTTTTTAAACAAAGTTTGAACTGTGCACAACATTGGTAAATGGGAGGACTGAGGTTGTCCAGTTTTAGTGTAAAGGAGACTTGCAAGTTTACTGCTGTATTGCCGCAAAACAGTTTGTCTTATCTGCAACAAATGCTGAACATATTTTTCTGGTTGATGGTTTAAATTCCAAATGCGTTTCATTTTCCTTGCAGAATGACATACCTCACAGCTCTTCCTCTTGCAAGTGCAGCCAAGAACAACAGCAGGCCGACCTGGCCAACACCATTGTCATCTGTGAATGGGCCGAGAAGATCTTTGCCACCCACTTCCAAACCACAGATGAGATTGCCCACCACCTTGCCAGCAATAAGTTAGTCTCTAGTTCCATGGCTTCCTTCACAGTACTCTCCAGTGGCAAGGATTCCTTGTCGTCATCGTCGAGGTCGCTGCGGCCGGATTTTGCAGTGGCGAAACTGCCTATTACACCGGAAGAGCGGCGGAAGGAGACACAGCATCAACTGCAGAAGAAGATACAGCAGCGGCAGCTTCACAAGATGAAGGAAGAACAGTTGCGACAGGCCAACGAGCGACTTCCGGCACTGAAGCCTGGAGACCCCATCAAGGGTGCCAAACAGCGAGACGACCGAAAAGTACTGAACAGGAGCCACAGTATGCCTGATGAGATGCAAATGAATGCAAGAACTGATTCACACAGGGGAGAGAATAAAGAACTGGACAAGGCCCCCAATGGTAGCCAGTTTGGTAACCAGCAGGTTGATCATAATGCTAGCCTAGCTCACCAATCAGGGTTACAGACAAACAACAACAGCAATAACAACAGTAACCAGCTACCTGTTTCAAGCTCGGTAACCACCACCGTTACAACAGTCAAGGAAAGTCCAAACAACAAACGTCGGTTCACACCCATACAACCCAAGACTCCCGTGAGGGATGGTGCGGTAAAAATGCCCCTGAATGTCAACAACTTACCCAATGGGCCGATGGTGTTTTTTCAGCCGAACGGAACAATTCTGAATTCAAAAGGGCAAAAGCTTCCCCCTGGAGTCCAGTTCATTCAAATATCGGGTCTCTCTAATGGCTCCATGCCTCAGATGGCTACCATTCCCATACAGAACATTCCTAACCCCAAGCTGGTTGCCTCTGGGACATCCAAGTCAACCGTTTCATCACCAGGAACGTCTAGAGCTCAGAATGTCATTGCTGTGCCAGTATCTCCTGGACAGGTCTTGAAAGGTTCTCCTGTTGCAGGGGGTGTACTTGTTGTCAAACAGTCTCCTCAAGCAGGCCTTGCCGCTAACTTTGTGAATGGCTCTCTACAAGGTAACAAGGTGTCAGTCGGACAGAAAGACCCTACGACGACATTGCCATCCCATAGCAACACTCACATGCTGCAGTTACAGTCAGACGCAGGAGGCGCGTCACCTCAGGGAGGCTGTAGTGCCACTCATTCAGGTATTATCCCCTCTTTGACTTCTACATCACTTCTTTCAAGCAAACAGGATGTCCTCACCTCGCCCCCTGTCCAGCCAAATTCGACCCCAGCTTGCCCATACACTGCAAACACCTCAACAGTACTCCTTCGGTCTGCACATGTGGAGCCTCAGAAGACTTCACCACAAGCAGATAATCACCCATCATCTGCTGTGAATCAAGTTGCAGTTAATAAATTAAATGAGGTGAATCCAGTTGCCGTAGGCATTCCAACAGCTTCTGTTTCTCATCACCCATCAACAGCAGTCACCTTTTCGACCTTTCCATTTCAGAAGCAGACAATGACAGCTCGGGATGGTATGTCCATGGCAGGGAATCATGATTTGAATGTGTTATCCTCACAGGGTGGGCTAACGTGTGGTCTTGCTGCAAGTGACCACAAGCAGATACCTGCCAATTCAGCATCTGCACTTCTGGCGATCTTGTCCAACACTGCCAATAAGGAGCAAGGTCTTGAGGAAAGCAGAGGAGCTAGCAAGGTAGCCAGAGCCAACCCCCAGATTGGAGGAAGTAATCATAACCTCCAGCCTGCAATCATTTCTATGACAGGAGCTTCATCAATATCACAATTGGCTCAACAAAATATGGGTGGTTTAGTTTCTACAGCATACAAAGCTTCACAAGATGCACATTTGAAGTCCAACATGATGTCCTCTGCAAGCCTGAAAAACGTGCCAGCTGTGCCAGTTCAGTTGACCAGGGCTCAAAAAGACCTACCACCAGCTTCTAACAGCGGTCTGATATCAATATTAACAGCACCAAGTCTTGAAACAAGTCATGTGAGTAACCTGCACCAGGCAAACCAACAGGTCAAGGAAGGCCATCAACAGATTTCATCCTCGTATCAGAGCATTCCTGTGTACAGCCTCCCAATAAACACTGCTAATCAACCTCTTGATCTAGCGGCACATCGGATTCAGCTGCCCATTGCTATGGAGTTAGGTAACAAGAGGCTGGCTTTATCACCTGTCCACGTCGACCAGTCTTCATCTGCAGTCTCCCTCCAACATCGAACATTACTCCCACAGATCAATGAGGTAGGCTGTAATGCCATGGAAGATGTCAACACCAGTATCCTGATCAAGCAGGAAATGGAAAACCTTGGAAGTCAGCTGGTGCAGCAAGGAATACCAGTCACGCAGCCTATCAGCTTTGTGAATGGTATTGCCCAGGGTACAGCAGTGATTGGCATCCAACAGCCAGCAGGCATAGAATGCCAAGGAAGGCAGAGTACTACATCTAGTTTAAACCCACATTCTAACACAGCAACACCTATACCGCTTGGGATAGAGAGTGTTCCCCAAAGCCCCAACGACCCCAACCAGGTGTATTTCACGTTCACACCGATCCAGCAGAGCACAGAGCAAGTTGGTGTAAGTGTAACCAGCCCCAGCCCGGTGAAGCCAATGCAGAAGCCCAAGCCAAAGTTTGGCACTTCACAGGTAAGCTTTGTTGCCCCCAATCGCAAACGACGAAGTTCGGGTACAACAAGGCGACCAAACACCAACGGCACAATAAATTGTCTTCCTCCTGCTGTCAGCCGTCAGATCACACCCACCCCCTCTCCCAGCGGGAGTCGTTGCTCGACGCCACTATCACCATCCTTGGTTTCAGCAATCAGCCAAGCAGATGCTGCAAGTATGCCACCCCCATCACCTGTGACAGTCCTATCTGACCCTAGTCAGGCTATGAGCAACAGGGGATCTACAAAGCGTGACCTGTCTAGCCAAAGTCAAACACCATGGGGGACACAGGTCATCAGTAACAGGAAGAGGAATCCATCCGGGCCTGCAACCTTGATGCAGCCGACCAAACAGCTTTCGTTAGATGCAGCTACCTTTTTACCCGAAGAGATAACAGATCTTAACATCCGTAGCTACAATCCCAATTTGGAGTTGAACACCTCACAGCATTATCAGCGAAGTCATAGTGTTCCTCTGCCAGCCTACCAGCCAGTCGTACTCAGTCAGGACAGGTTCATATCCAACTTCCCCGCATCTGTTGAGCAGCGAGGGGTAACCGTCAATAACCGGAGTTTTGGAGCTAAGCGCAACCTTACCCAGGAGTTGCAGGAGATCCAAGTCACAGACGAAGACTTCAATCCCGAAGAGCATTTCCTTGAAGGGAGTGACACAGCTTTTAATGATCTCCTGAATGCTGACTTGCAGCAACCCACCCAGGGTCAAGGGTCATGGGTCAGCAACATGCAGCCAGAGTGCTCCACCGAATTGGCTGTGGATTTCCCAATGACGTCTTGCAGCTCGGAAAGAGACACTGAGAATGAGCTAGATCTTGCCCAGGGATTAGGGGATAATTCCAATAGCACCACGTCGACTTTGAATGAAGAGATAGCTGCCATGGATGACATGGGCTCCAATCCAGTCTTTCATGATTTCACCCTTCCAAGCTGGCCCCAGATGGGTAGTAGTGGCAATCTAGCCTCACTGGAATGCAGTATGTAATCCAGAACCCAGTCAGGGGACTAGACCAAGAGAGAGATTTACCAGTTCCCAAGCTCAAAATATTGTTGCCTTTATGAAGCAGTTCAGTTTCTTCAGCTTGCTTCATACCAGAGGAATAGTTTCATAAACTTTTGAAGATTTGAAAATCAACTGTTACTGGAAAGGGAGTGTGTTTAGCCTCCTGTCTGCAGTCGGATGTAAAATCTTTTCGTTATTTTTTGTTCGTGCATAATGGAGCCGGCCAACTGATTTCCAACTCATCTGTTCATCTACACATAAATCATCACAGGAACATTGCTTTCAGTGGTGAGTTGGTGAACACTGTGAGCTTGTGTGGAGTTTGTTTTGGGGTTTACTTTGGCCAGCTTTGTTTTGGCAAGACGTGACCATAATTCAGAGATAAGCATTGGTCACAAAATGAGTTTTAAGAATGTGTACATTGAGTATTCAGATTTTTGACGTACATTTTGTGTAGATAACGTTTTTCCGTTTTTTGTTAACCTACGCACAGAGTGTAGTGTATGTGCAACCTTTCTATGCCGTTATTTGTCAGTTGTAGAACTGACTTTGTTCAATTTGTATTGAGTCAATGTGAATAGATTTGAACATATTTTGTGAAGATTTTTGAGTAAATACTAAAAATGTAAATACTAGAAAAACAAGCTACTTTTTGGCATTTTAAAAAGTGTAGTTTCATGTAGCTTTTACCGTTGTGTGAATAAATTAAATGCATTTTTGAAATGTTTTTTCTGGCACAGTTTGTTACAGATTTTTTAGAATTCTCTGTATTTTAGATATGAAGTGGAATTGGATGCCAGTTTCATGTGTGTTTTGTGATACTTGGAAAAATGGTTTTGTTTTGTTTTTAATCTTCTGAAAGTGTAAGAACTTTCCGGTAACTTTGCGTGTCTTGAAATTTACAGATAGTGCATTCGTGTTTGTTCAAACAAATTAAATGAATTGATCCCTGGTTTAATAGGTTTTCCATATTGGTATGATGTTGTCTTAGTTACGTGTTAATGAAAAAAACAAATGTCAAAACTGACAATGAAATGTGACAAATGAAATAAACGTTTGAACAATCATTATGTACATGAATATTTAAAATAAAAACAAATTATAATTATATATTTTCATAAATATGGGATTGATTGTTCATTAGATTGGGAGGTGTTGTAATGTGTACGTGTACATCAACAACATGTACAGGTAGAAAATGCCTTTGACTTTTTAGGAAACTCGTTTAGATACATGTACAAAATTGCACAGTTATGTCATTTTTATACCATTTTCTTCATTTGCTTGTACAGTTGAATTTAATTGGGTGCAGGCACAGTTTTACATGAAATGTTTTGGAGCTTTTTTGGAGGGGGAGAGAGAAGTTGCGAGGCTAATATATTCGAAGCATTTTCAGAAATGAGCAAAATATTTCAATCAGACTAGAGATGTGTGGATAATCCATCGGTGAAGAATTCTGTGGTAGCACAACTTACATGTATGTATCTCTTTTGTGAGTTGTGTGGAATTATTATCTGACAGCCAGTAATTGGAAATTTGTAGAGTAACAATTTAATAACTAAACACTGGCCGATTATTTTTCGGTTGATTTTTTTCGTTCAAAAGTAAAGAACTTTTGCATTACTAGAAATATAGCAATTTCGAAAACAAATTCTATTTTTCGGGATGAAACTCCAAATTAGCACAGGGAATGCAAATGTCAACTTGGACATTCCAACGGTGTACCCCCAGTACCTGCTCTGGTTGTTTCACAGTGTTCTCCTGAAGAGCAGTGTTCGAAATATCCAGTTAAACCAATTCTTCTCATAATCACACACAACTCACAAACAAGATTTACATGATGCCACTACAAATCCTTCAATCATTTATCCAGATTTTTCAGAAAATAATTCTCAACAAAACAAGCGCTTTAGGACTGCATTCCGTTGGGTAACACTACAGGAATGCTGTACAATGTGAACAAAAATCCCTTCACAAAACTCCAGCAACTGCCCCTATGTAGAACTGTGCCTAGTTGTTCAGCTTTCATGTTTTGCAGATGGTCGGCCCTCTTGCGGTGTCACACTTGCATGCATCATAGAATGTGGAAATGCCTTGATTGTAAAGATGTTGGGTTTACCAGGAGGGGTATTGAGTGTCAAAGGTCATATGTGGCTAAAGTTTTTGGGTGATGAGGCTTTATCGTTTTGGAACAAGCTAGGCAGAAAAAAACAGCATGTATGCACAACAACAATTTTTTTAATTTTTGGGGCAACTTCTTGCAATGTTGAATGACCCCCGACCAAAATTACCCATTCCTACAAATCTTTTGCCTGTGCACACCTGCTGTTTTTAAATTTGTTAACTTAGCATTCGTTCCCGTTGAGAAGCTGAAGATTATTTTGACGTTGCGCCGTCTGTGCTTGCGATGGTCTTTTGATATGGTGCATTCTACTTGTGGATTCGGTCTTTAGGGTGGTGGCCTTTTTATTCAAGCAGTGCAGAATACCTGATGCTCAGTGGAAAGTACATGAATGTGCCATGCTCTCTGTCCATGTTACAGCCTCAATCTGATGGAGCACCTAAATGATGAGATGACGATCTCCTACACCACTCAAAATCCAAAGAAGAATCGTCATAACCCAACCTGTAGAAATTTCAGCTCGGTGGATACACTTTTGGAGAAAACAGTGAAAAACCATGCACAACCTTTTGATCTCGAAACACGATTTCATCCATAGCACTATATTTTTAAATAATAAGTCAATTAACTGATGATTGGAAATCACGTACATTTCTTGATTTCTCCTAAATGACAGCAAGCAAGACGGAATAATTTCACAGGGTGTTTAATATCAGCAGATCTTTAATCCAAGCAAGCTTTTTGATAATTATTTGGTAGTTTACTTTTGGGATAAAATACACATGATCTTATAAACCTTAAAAAAAAGCAAATCACTAGAACGGAAATGCATTAATAAAAAAGCAGTACAAAAATAGAAGAAATAAATCGAAGTTGAGCATGTTTTCCAAGATGGGTGCGACATCTGCTTTCTACTGAGCATCAATACATTCTGCTTCCTAGTTATTCTCAGGTTTTCAATGAAGAAAAAAGTTAAAGAAGGAATTGTACATTTTCTAGCACTTTTGCTAGATGTTTTTTCTATGCCGTGTATAAAAAAGACAATTTGTAGTCATTTCTTGAATCCAACATTGTCATTTTTATTAATGAAGGAGGGTGAGAAAGTGCGTGTAGACTCACACCTTGAAATGTTCGATACTGGGAACAGGAGTTAAAGAGCGAGTTAATTTGAGTGCTTATTTTTTCTTTTTCCAAAGACATTTATTGTAATTAGCATTTTAGGAAGGCATTATTGCATTGCAGTTGGTCATCGTGGCTGTTTTATTAATTGCTAAAACTTTGCCACCATGGGAAGAGAATGCAGATGTTATTGTCAGATTCCCCCCCCCCCCCTTGTATGGAAGATGCATCCCTGTGGTATGGGAGAAAGTCTCCTGCAAAGAAATAGTATTGGTTTGCCGGTGCGACGGTTTTCAAAGAACATTCCCCCAAAAGCCAGGTTTAAATACCTCATAAATGTTGGTCAGTGTCGGACTGTTGCTGTGCCCAAGCACTATCTTTTAGGTGACAAATAGTTGTGGCTGTCAAACGAAAATGAACCTTTCCTATTTTGTTCTTGTTGGAGAGAATAATTTGCAGCCATTTTTGAATTTCATTTGAAAATATAAGTTGCCACAGTTTTGCCTTGTGCAAAAATTGTATGGCATTTCTCTGAGTTGGAGGGTCATAAAATGTTAAAAAATTATACCCTAGGTTCGAATTTATGGTGCTGTTGAGCAGAAAATATGTGATCTGTCAACACAAAAATGAGCTTAAAGTCAGACTTTTGAAGAATTTAAAATATTTATATTTCTGGAATCTGAAAAACAAGAGCTTTCCAATGGTATCACTTTCGGGTACTAAGTACAGTAACGGAAAAACTGTTGTAGAACAAAGTTTTGAGAAAATGGCATTTAAAATTCCTGCCATTGTATTGCAGTGAATGAACAGTCAACCGATAAAATGGGATGAAAATAGGTTTTAAAGATGTTTTGTATAACAAATAAAAAAATGGGAAAGGTAAAACAGGAATTATGGATTGAGTTTCACCAGAAAAAAATTCTACCACCCCTTTGGATTTTTACTTCGCCCCACTGTACTGCAAAATGGCAATTTGCGGCTTAAAGCTCAGTTTGTTCTGACAGGTCACATATTGCTTAACAGATAGTCCTAAGCAGAGATATGGGCCCAATTTCATGGCGCTGCTTAACAGTTAGCAGAAAATTGTGCTTATTATAGCAGGAAATTGTGCTAACCTTAAGTACTATTTCATGGCGTGAATGTGCTAATGGTTACGTGCGCATGGGGATTTCTATTGTTACGTCATTAAATTAAGCAACTTTTTCCTCCGGGGGTTAAGCGTGCTTTTGCTGTGCTTACTGCTTATGGTCTCCATGAAATAGACAGAGGCTCAGTTAGCAGACAATTCGTGTGCTTAGCAGCACCATCAATTGGGCCCAGCTTAAAAGTAAGCGCAAGTAATATACATCATGCTCTTTAGCTTGACCATTCTTGCTAAAACCAACGGCAAAACATTCTGTGCTAAGTAAACTTGCATGCTTAGCATCGCCTTGAAAAAAGGCTCTTGGTCAAAAAGTAGTGAGATGAAAGTACGTCATCACAGATAAGCATTATCGGGAATTTATTGTTGTACAGGTACTTTACAAACCATCCAGTAAGTTTCCTTCAAGCAATAGAGAAAACTGTTGAAGCTTCCATGTAGAAATGTTTCCCACAGTTTGGGACTCAGGATTTTAGAATTCTATACTTTCTAGTTAGTTAAATTTAAAGAAAAGTAGACTTGGTTCAAGTCTGACGTATGTTACTTCAACCCATGCTAAAACAATGCCCAAGCATAGAGGTACATATTAATAACACAATAATGTGTCGTATTTGCTAGACTAATTTAGTGGTCTGGTTATCAGGAGTGCACTCCTTTTGCACTGATAGAAACCACCAAGGATACCAGCTGTATGATAGACATGGGCAATTCTCAGACTTGAATCAATTCTAGACAGAATTTGTTATAAATACTGTCATATTAAGTTTAGATTGAACAAAATATGCATCCAACTTGGTCTGAAATTGAGATTACTTAGTACTTCAGTAAAAAAGAAGGAATATCGAAAATGGCATATTATTGACACAAAAAAATAGCTTATAAAACCAATACAGTTTCTATCTGTTCGGGACAGTTGTGTTACAAGTCTCAAGTTTTTACAACCACTGATCTGCTCTAAAGTAATCAGGAAATGTGTTAAAGTACCCAATTTGATAATGAACTGCAAGAACAAGTTCTCAGAGTGATTAAAGGAAAAAACAAAGGACAAAATATGAACTTAACTACAAATCCTTTATGTCTCTCTGCATTTTGAAAGTACAAGTACCCCTAGATGACTCAGATTGTATTGAGTACATGACTACTGTAATGTATATGCCATTTCTATTGGTCAGTTTTCTTGCTGTATTCAAAACATTTTTTTTTTCTTGTGTGCTTTAATGTTTTCAATAATTTAAAAAAATCCAACTGAAACCGATGTTTTAGGTATTAAAACAGTATTAACCATCATGTGTGATCATGCAACCACTTGTCAATGTTGGTCCTTTTTGTGTGTGTGTGTAAGTTGTGCAATTACTAACAGCTGATCCGTGAAGCCTGCTCCTTTTTATTCCCAAACAAAACTGCTATTGCGCAGCCAAGTTTCTGACAAAAGACCTACAAAGTACCAGTGTGCACATACACATGATGAGTGCGGTTGTAGCATATGTTGTAGCATATCGTGTAGCATGGGAGGGGTGCACATGTTGTTGGCACGGTCTTCTCCCTGATATTTGTGTTGCTTGTTCCTATGGAAGCTGAACACACTTGGTGATTGTGCGTGTCTGGCAATTCAAATTCTCCAGTTTCTAACTATACAAACAAAAACTAGCACCTGGAAAAAAGGAAACTTTCTACATACAGCAACCCTCTTCCCCAGATCTACCCAATGGCAGAAGCACTGTGTCCGCTATTTTTCAAAATAGCCGTTGATAAGGTACACTTTAGATACTTCACGAGCGTGAGTGGAATACGGAATAATGTAGTGAGTCTGTGTCCCATATGCCACCCGGTCGAAGATATGGAACACAAACCCACTACATTTTCTGCATTCCACAAGCGCGAGTGGGATAACAAATATATCTTCAAGCAAACTTGATGCACAGTAAAGATTGAACACGCATGCTGTACATGTACACGTGTGATGTGGACCGTGGTTAAAGATTAAAGTGAATGTACACTGAGATTTGTCTGTAAGACAAACAAATTGGCGATTTCCCTTATTTCTCAAATTGTTAGTGCCCCCTACAAGTCCATGCGATTATCTGCTGACATTTGCCGACTCGCTTCACAATGATCCTCAACATAACGAGCATCAAAATACTCTGAATTTCATGATCATGATATCTATTTATAATAACTGTCTGTAAATTGTCATCACATGCGGAAGACACCGAAGTCAGTGTTCTGTACAGGAGCGTTGAGGGCAGCGCTCAAACTAAGCGCAAGGATGGTGCGCGTGTCGGCAGGATCTATCACTCCATCATCCCATAACCTAAGAGAAATTGAAAAAAAAAGAAGAAAAATGATAGTCTCATAGATAGTCCCAAAGTCCCAGCAATTCAGTCCAATACCCTGGATTTCCTGAGTATGCCTTAGGATCTTGCACGTGTTCTCCACTCTATGTGGATGTAGTTTTTTGCATACAGTTTTTAAATCTTATGCAGGAAATACCTTTTGGCAATGTACAGAGCATTTGCACTGCTGCCATCATTGAGGTGTGTGCCTTTGTTCAACAGGGATGTGCAATTCTTGTTGATGAATTCCCATACCAAAACAAATCTCAATTCCAGCGCTATGCAATGTCTGTGACGGAGCATTTTATGAGCTCGGTGAATAAACCTGAACGTGTATTTTTCAAATCTTACACATTCATCATCTAGTAATGGTCAAGGAGATTACAGACGATGAGTTTTGGATCATTTCTCTGAATCCTTAACTAGATATTATGGTTAATTGGCTCTGTCACGGACATTAGACTTATTTTCATAACAGCTGGGATTGCCCATATACATTTTGATGTGTAACAACTGACCTAGCGCTGGAATAGTAAGGACTTCCTTCCTGTTCGTATTTCTCCAAGATGGGTTTCATCAAGGCTTCTTCCTCCTCGGCAGTGAACTGTGGAAAGCCAGAACAGAGATTCCATCGTCTCACATTCAATTATAACAATAATGTGTATTTATAAAGCACAGGTATACACCAGTATTGGTGCTCAAGGCGCTACATCATTATTACCCTGCTCAATGGCTCAATGAAACATTCTAAAGACAATATCAGCTCCCTGGGGAGTAAACAGCTCGATGCTGTCATTTCGGCGCAAAGCAGCTAAAATCAATCACAATAACCATCTCTGCCCTCGCAGGTACCTATCTGCTCCTGTGTGGGGAGAAGCAATGAGTGACAAAGTGCCTTGCCCAAGGGTACACGGCTACACGCACCATAACCCCAGGCTGGACTTGAACCCACAGGCTGCAGAATTACCTGCAGACCATGAATTCAATGCTCCAGACCATGAGGCCACGGCACTCTACATTCAATGCAGTTTTATGTGACCAGGTTCGAGGAATATTGTGCTAAAGGTTTACAGAACTATGTTTGGGAGTGACCAAAATCCCCACTCTGAAAAACATGACCTCCGCCATAAGACCTGGGGCGGGGGGAGGAGGAGGTGTGCATAATAGTCACATGACACCATCAAATAGGGCTACTGGGATTAAGGCATTTTATACTAATAAAGTTGTCAGTCATCAGTTCATAAAAATCATCTTGTGTCAAAATCTGGTTTCGAATTTGACACTTTTCCTCAAAACCTTTCAAACACATGCACATCAATTTGAGGCTTTGCATGCCCTGAGTATTCAATTTAAAATTACAAATGAGTTATTTTGAACCTTGAACACATGGCACAGTTGTACTTTACACAACTCTCGAGGACAAGGCATTGTGTTTCCCTTTTTCCCTGTATCATAACACACTCCCATCGACTAAGCACATAAACGTACGTTTTCAATGTTTTTAAGGACCGTTTTCAACAAAAGATGAACAATCCAGGTCAACAAAGAATCTGTTGTTCTTTGTGCACGTACACACAAAACGGTTGAAATTCCGTATTTCATTTCATGAGCAAATTCTACTCTTTAACAAAATTTTATCTTTTCACAGGTCATTATCGCTGATACGCAAATTACTCCAAGCGTGAACATTTCCACCGAACAATTACAGCAATTTTAGCTATACCAGATGAAAACATTATACAGGTGAAACCGAGAAGTGTTCATACAACAGATGTTCATCAACACAGCCCAGTATACATCAGATCATATGTACATTGCGTGCCCTTTAACCATGTTAACAAAGTCAAATTTTTTTCTACTAATAAATTTTCAACTTGTATGTTTTATTCCAACCAAAAAAAAAGTCCTTTTTCTTTTAAGGACGTCTGCAACTCTCTGTAAAAAACAAAAAAATTGTTTTGGGCAAAAACAGATCTGCTCTGCGAGCAGACTGGCTCCTGGTCCGTACATTATCAATACTGATTGTGGGGCAGGAACCTGCCTAACCCGCGAAAACGGAATTATTGTTCGGCAGCGAATCATTCAAAAATTGTAAAGTAATAATTCAAAAAATCAACACAGGCAGATTGTTTTTTTTGGGTTGATGGCTCATTCAAAAGTGAATAACTTTTGTATTGCTAGAAAAAAAAAGCAATTTAGAAAAGGAATCTATTTTTAGGGATGAAACTCGAGTATAGCACAGGGAATGCGACTTTAACGCTTGTCAGGTTTCAGAACTCATTTGAGTTGGTCACGGTCACTTGATGACACTTCATAATATGAGCTGACAGCATGTGAAGATGAGGATAAAATGTCATTCAACTCTATATAGAGGTCAACAAACTAAACAGGCACTTTTTTTCTTTTTTGGACATAGCCGTTAAATGTACATAGGATCTTTTGCTTTTTGTGCAAATTTGTTTTTGGTTGAAGCAACTAAATTGCTCAAAATCTTTATACCGTGCACTCATGTCAAACCTGTTGAACTTTCAGCTCAGAGGACACTATACATTTTTAGAAAACAGGGAAAACGTATGCACAATTTTGTTGGATCTCCTAACTGGATTCCATTGCTATCGCGGGTATCCTGTTTTAAAACCACTTTCAATTTTAGTTTTCTTCCAAACGATACCATTTCAGGGGGAATAATTTCAAGGTGTATTTGATACCAGTCCTATCTTCATTGTGAGCAAGGTTGTTGTCATCAAATTGGTAGGTATTTTTCCGGTTAATGGCAAATGATCTGACATGGCTTTCAGTTGGCATTTTTGTGCATTCTAAAGGGCAATTCTGTGGTAGCTCGCTTTACAATTAACGGGGATATTTTGTCAACTCTGTGCTGTTATTCTATGAAGTCAAAGCATTTAGGGTGGATTATTCTCACAGAAGATCCCTTCAAGTTAAGTGACTAAACTGCAAGAAAAGAGGCCAACAAAATAAACTTCTGTTGGTTTGGCAATAACTTTTTTATCATTAACTCGCATTACAAAAAAAAGGACATGGCAGAAATTTAAATACCTTTCATCTGAAAATGTCCTCATACTGTGCACTGTTGGAAGGTTTTTTTCATATATTGCACTGGATACTGATTTCCCACTAGTAGGGTTAATCAGGGAGAGAATGGGGCGGGGGCTAGGGCAGGTTTGTGTGTCTTACCTCTTGTCCCATTCGTTGTTTCTGTGCTTTCTGTACCTGAGCCAGTACCAACGCTGCCTGCTTGCCTCCCATGACGGAGATCCGCGCGTTGGGCCACATATACAGGAATCGTGGACTTGGCAAGTAAAAAAGTACAATAAACCAGAAGTTGTATTCAAGCCATCACAGGTTCATAATCTTCAATCATAAGACAAGTTACAAGACATTCAATTGAACCATGACATGGAATTCCTTTGTCATTCTTATTCCCCTATTACTTGCCAAGTGACCCGACTTGCAATTGATTTTTGATTGAGTGGATGACGGTTCTGCAATAACAGGCTCTCTCACTGACCCACGTGACCCAGCCTACATCCAGTCAACGTCCCCATTCTAGTAGGCAAAGATCGTATATTGCACTGCGCAGTAGGTAGTAGGCAAGCCTTCAAAGCTGTGATGGATGACAAAATCTGTGCGAAAAATGCGGAGCCAACGTCCAATGCTGGGTCGGCACGATTATGACAACCGTACACGGCACAGGTAGTGATCATTATGTCACTTGATAAAGAATTTGCCGTTATTTTACGTGAAAATAAGCCCTGCTGTCAATATGCTCTGTTGTTAGCAATGCACGGCTTGGTTACCAACCAAACGCTTGCCTGCTACAATGGTGGCCTATCAAGGGGAAACCGAATGGTCACATGGTATTTTAATGTCATATGATCAGACCCTAAACAATTAATGGGTTTCAATAAAAACATTTAATTAAAAATGACACACCATACTTCATTGCATGTTTCAGACAATCTTCAATGTTGTACTTTTTAATCAATGCATTCTGAACGACTGGAATATTATTTTTAAAATAAGGAAACTATTTATTTACAGACAAACCTGTGCATTTCATATTTTCTAACAATGATGGGAGCTTCCAATGGTCCTCCCCCCAACAAAAATCCAAGTCAATTCCTCAATAAGCTCACAATACTGCTGCAACTTTTTCCTTTTCAATTTTTTCCTTTTTGTTCATTTCACTTGACTTACTTTGTCCTACTAATTAGCTTTTATTTCTATTTACAAGCCAATATTAACATATTTAACTTAAAAATTGACATGACAAATCTGTTTCTTACCCATAGGCCCGTCCACACATTCCATAGTTACCGGCACCAAATGACCCACCTACGATGACAGTGATCTTGGGAACGTTGGCGCATGCTACGGCATTCACCATCTTGGCTCCATTCTTGGCAATACCGCCCGCCTCAGCGTCACGGCCAACCATGAAACCTGGGCATTGGGGGAAGGGGAGGGGAGTCAAAGGAAATTGACATAAAAATGTGCGATTCTTGTATACATGTATACACACATTTATTGATCGAAAGTATGGACTAATCCGGGAAACAAGCTTAGAAGCTTTCACTGAGTTGGAACCATGTGTTACATGCAGACACATTGGCAACTCATTGTCTGAACCAGCATTTGTGGTGTGCATACCACCTTTGCAAAATTAAATGACTTTTAATTGAATGACTTTTAATTAATTTGACGAATTAGCCAAAGCTGGAAAAACAAATTGCAAATTTGATAAACCTCACCACGGGACAAACTAATTGTCAATGAGAACTTATGAAGTGTTTCATGGTGTAAGACATTGATGTATGCAGTTGAAATAAAGAGCAAACTTACCTGTGATGTTCTGTAGAAATATTAGGGGAATTTTCCGTTTGCAGCATAGTTGAATGAAGTGAGCAGCCTGTCAGACAACAAGCGGAAGTATTATTTGTCAAAATCTATAATAATTCATGAGATCCCATTCAACTTTAAATTCACAAAATTCACAAACTAATTATGTTACTTCTTTTCGCCTCTAAATTTCAGGACAGACAACATCATGGACTCAATGCATAACTACACCCTAAATATAGTAACAAATCATTTCCTGTGTGGAGTCCATTTTTTCTAAGACAGTCCACATAACTGCACTGTTGAGAAGTTTGCCCCACAATTTTAACTTAAATTTCTTACAAAACCATCAGATCTTGCTCACCTTTAAAGCACACGATGAATACAGCACCCCGTTGTTACCAAGGATACCTACTGGGTAACCATGGATATGAGCAAATCCTACACCAAAATATGAAGAAAAAAATCCACGGGTTAATATGATGGCACAAACAAATCAATCTTTCTGATTTTTTTCTTCAAGTTTTGCAAATAACTAATCGTTTGCCTGGCGGGAAAATCATCAAATCTCGATGTGTGTATGCATAGTTTGAAGACCAATCTGGATTATACGGATGATTATTGTATGTGGTCAAATTAAAATTCGAATGGAGAATTTGGCATAACATATTCTTCAGTTGTGCAAAAAGCCACTAGACCCCAAGTTTTGTTCGGTAGAAGGCACTGCAACAAAAACACGAAATGTGCTTCTGAAAAGGTAGCTTAAGTCTGACCAAGTCATACATCCAAAGACACTGAAAGGTTATCAATGTGTCACCATACAGCATCGTGACCTCATCGAACAGGCTACCAGCAACAACCCTCGCAATGACCTCTCTAATATCACAGAGGTCAACCCTACATCTGACATTTTTTTGTTGTCACTGACCTGTTATCAACGTGTCTCCACACAATGTCTTGAACTCATCAAACACACAGAGGTCCACGACCCTCATGATGACCTATCTGATGTCAAAGAGAGGTCAACCTTACATTTCACACTTCTTCATTGTCACTGACCTGTTATCAACGTGTCTCCGTACAGCGTCTTGAACTCATCAAACACACTGCCGTCCACAACCCTTGCGATGACCTCTCTGATGTCATACACTTTGCTAAAGTCGCTTTGCACAATGCCGTACAACTCATCAACTGAGTAAACTGGGTCTCGCGGTTCCTGAATTGGAATCTAGGAAAATAAAAGAACAAAATTTTAAGGGAGCGGAGTTTGAACCTGCGACTTTCAGATTGCTGTTCCAGTACTATACATAATTTGTTTGTTAATTGAAAAAATAAAGCAGCAAATGTTTTTTTCCGGAGTGTTAATCAAATTTGCAAGGAATCTTATACATGCATATAAATATTACATAAATGTTGACTGCTTCAAGTGATATAGTAAAACTAGCCTCCAGAGATTATTGGTTAAGTGTTAATTTAGAAAACTAAAATTGTTTGTTTAATGACACTGATATAAGGCCTGTATAACTAGAAAGTAGGGAAAAAAAGAAGGAAATTCCAAGTTTTACACAACATTATACAGTGTTTTAAAAATTTTTTAATGGCATATGCGTGACGCAAAAAATGAGGATATCAGTTAATCCAAGGTAAAGTTGCATGCCTGTTATATATTCTGCATAGTTTTAGATATATTTGATTATTAAATTCTTCATTTTAGCACTCTGAAAGGTCAAACAGAGCACACACAGAATACAGTAAAGCATGGCAGAGATTTCAGCTGCTTGGCCTGAGCCTACCACACTAAACTGTAAAGGGTTTTGAAAGGTGAAAGTTCAACACAAAGGACATTTGGTCTTGCCGTGTGATCAATTCTATGGGTAAAAGTGAAGAGGCAAAAACTTGTCTGCCCATAGAAGTAGCACCCACACTTCAAATTCCTTCCAGGTAGTCTTCTGTGAAGTATGGATAACACTTTAAATCCCTGCACACTTCTTTTGTGTGGTTAAGTTCAGGGCAAGCAGGCAGATTCGTTAACGCTTCAATGCTCTCCACTGTGCTGTACTCTCTGTGTGAAACAATTACTTTAAAACTTCCCATCCCTTCACCTGAAACTGACCTACAGGTTTGGAAGGGTGTTACATACAGCTCCGACTACTGACTTCCCACAAGGAGGGTTAAGGGTGTTGGAGAGTCAAAGACAAGGATGATTAGTGTGTCTTTAAGTCTTGCTTACATTTGTAGTTTTCTTCCGGTTAAGGTTGGCCACTGTTCTCCTGGCGAGGTACAGCGCATGACTGTCGTCTTCTGCAAAGTGGTCTGTCACGCCCGACGTCCTGAGAGAAACATGTACCATCATAAAATGTTGATAAAAATTATCTTCTAAAGGGTTTTCTTAAAAACTAAGGGAGAGAAAAAAAATACTAAATAGCATGAGATACGAAGATGACTGATAAAAAACGACATTAGTACAATTTTCAACCTATTCTAAGGTGCGTTTGTCTCAGGAACGATGGCAACAATTGAAATTATGTCTTGGATACTGTTATTTCATTGCTCCAGAACAGCCTCATGTCAAGTTTGGAAAAAGAAAACAAATAAGGAGCCCCCTACCTACAATGGAGGTCTGCTCCGCCCAATTCTTCAGGAGACACCACCTCACCAGTAGCTGCCCGTACCTGTGGTAACAGAATCATTCCCATCAGAATCAAAGCACATCTTGAAATACACACAAACAAGTACAGACAGTCGCGTTTTACTATACTCTCGAGGACAATGCTTTATGTTTCCCTTTGTCCCTGTAATACAACACTCTCCCATAGGCTACGCACATAATCGTACGATAGAGGACCGTTTTCAACAAAGGACCCAATGCCCGAGGACTGACAGGATCTGCTGTTCTCCCTTTGTGTGTCGGTCCTCGGGGTTATGTAGAACACGTACATGGATTACAATCTTGCTTTGTCCAAGCACGAATCAATCACAAGTCTGGCCACAAGTAACGGGGGATGACCACTGTGCCTTTGCCACAGTTTTTTTGAATAGCTTGTGACTTGATTTGCAAGTTTTGACTACAACTCTGCATTAAACTATGGGCTCTGTGCGCCAACAAAAGAGGGCACATTTTTACCACTTTTGAGAGCCCCGTGGATGGGACACACAGCGTGTGCCTTACGTACTGTACTGTACTGGTTCGCGTGCGAAGTATGCACGACTTCTTGAATGTGCCAAAGCTATATAGCCATAGCGTCTTCGCGTGAGCGTCAGGCGTCGTCTGCGCGTGAATACGATCAATTTTAAACTGTGATGGTCTCCCAGACTAATCCCCGCGCCCAATAACTTTGGATTATTCGAAATACGCAGTGGGTGGACCAGGAACCAGTCTAGGTCTGTCCCAACTCTCCTTTTCTGGCCGTTAAAGGGGTACTTGTGCACGGAGCCCATAGACCTATTACGCGTAACTATAGCATGGGACTGTCCCAACAATGGGACTGTCCCACCTATAGGTCTCTCTCAAATGATGTCATTTCCTACAGACCAGCCAAGCGCATTGGCATTTTGAGCGTGAACTTGCATAACGCGCATCGGCTGCGTGGTATTTCGAACACATTTCGAGCAACATGGCTGCATGTTTGGAACATTTTCAACACTGCGCAATGCGTGCTTGATTGCGTAAAATAGGCAGTTGCAGTTCTTCTACAGAGATGGCCGTCAATCCCTTCATGCTGTCACTTCTATCACAAAGGCCCCCTTCAATGGTGAAAGCCCTGTGCTAGCTATTGTTCAGATAATGGACAAGGGGCAGTCGCTTTGCATAATGCTTTTGCCATTGAAGGGGGCCTTGTGCGTGTACAGCGATCACGTGCCTGGATTCGCCTTTAGTTAGGGCGTAACTGACCTATCAGGAAAATCAACCCAGTCTTACCAATGGTGGCCCAGCAAGGAAGATGGTTCCCTGCTCCTTGACAATGATGCTCTGATCAGCCATGGCTGGTACGTACGCACCTCCAGCGGTACAGCTACCCATGACAACGGCGATCTGGTTACCAGTGAAACAGACAGAGATTAACAGATAACGAGAGACAGGAAAGTCATTGGCAAGAAATGAAGCCATTTTTTTCTTGAAAGTGAAGTCTGTCACGAGCCAGTGTGGCCCATCAGGCCGCGTTTATCTCAAGTTTCAGCGATGCGATATGAAACGACTGAGAATATTTCTACTGCGCTAACCCTGTAAGCACACAATCCGCAGTTATGGGATGTTCGCATGCGCATAAGCCAAAATTCCTCGCTTACCCGTGAACTAAGATTACTATAAGAACGGAATTTTCTGCTACTGTATGCAGAAATTAGGCCTAGTATTTTGAGGTCAAAGGTCACTGACCTCGGCTATTCAAAAGGTCACTGACCTGAGGTATGCCCATGCTAGACATGATGGCTTGATTGTAGAAGATGCGGCCAAAGTTGTCTCGGTCTGGAAAGACTTCATCCTGCCGGGGTAAATTAGCTCCTCCTGAGTCCACTGTGGGATAAGGAAAAGACCATTTAAAAAAAAAACATTCCCGTATGAAAGATGAAAACATAGGCTTTGAGGTAATTTCGTCCCTTAAATAGTAAGGCCATTCAGTGTCATTTTTACTGCACAAACTTTCCATAACTTTTGGGGTATTTTTTGGTTTAGTTTTTCTGTGCTTTTGTTTTACATTTTTAAATCAGAAATGAGTCTTGCTTGATTTGCAAGGGCATGTGCTACTGTGTTTTTTTTAAATTTTGCCCCTATGGCAAGGATCCCAACTATAGTTGGGACAGTCCCAACTATTCCCAACAAAGCATTGAGAATTCCTAACTACAGTAGGGACGATCCTAACTGTAGTTGGGATAGTCTCATCTATAGTTGGGACGATGCCATAGTTGGAGCATAACGTTTTCATCGGCAATAGCTGCACAATGCCCTAACTGTTAGCCAAAGTTCACTTGTCATGGACCGTGAATTGACGGTGCAAGTCAGAAAAGCTACCCACCTAAATACACACAGGTCAGGTTGTTTTCTCTGGCGATGTCTTGTGCTCGTAGATGCTTCTTGATTGTGATTGGATAGTAAGTGCCTGCTTTGACCGTTGCATCATTGGCTACAATCATACAGTCAACCCTGGAACCAAAGCATATCCTCTAATTTATCTTTCTAAAGATTTCAAATCAAACAAGGAATTTAATTGTGGACCCTTTTTATGAAGGACTGAAAGATTTTTTGTTTGAAATTCATTCCTGTTTTGTTTCATTGTCAATAAATTCAAATTTGAAACAGAAAATAAATCCAAGGAAGCAACTTGACGAAGATGACAAACACTTTGAAACATGAAAATAGCTAATTGTTTGTATAAATAAAACTGATCAATGTTAATAGAAAGTATAAGTATAAAAATATTTACATTTTCCAAATCTGTGATTTTGCTTCTTGCACACAACCACCAAAGGTCTTATTTTTCAACCACCTACATGTAAGACAATTAAAAAAAATGCACAAAAAATGTCAAAAATAATATGACAGACACCTACCCAGACACCCTGCCAATACCGGTGATAATTCCCCCGGCAGGCACTTCCTCTTCACCATATAGATCGTAGCCAGCCAGTTGAGACAACTCCAGAAATGGGGAGCTGAAAAACATGAAAAATAAGATAAAATTGAAAAATTGGGTTTTGTCATACCTCGACATAATTTATAAGGACTACTCAGTTTCACAAAAAAAACCAATGAATGAACACTAACACAGGAATGTCTTTGTCAACGTTCATGTGAGTAGCTACAAGTGAATTCACAGGTACATTTACCCCCTCAACGTTTACAAAGAGCGAAATTAGGTAGGACCTGTGAATGCATTGCTGTTAATTGTACGCTAATCGTGCCGAGGTGAAGACACTGTAGATATGTGCACATTCCGATTGAAATTAATCATGCGTACTTCGCACCATCAAGGCTCAACCATGGCGTTCACGCAGTGTGTCCATGACAAGGAGCTCTCACAAGTTGCCACAAAGCACCATCTACACGTAGAGTCCATTTTCATTGTTACACCCCAACTATGGTAATGGTCCCAACTATTTTGGGGACAGTCCCAAGAATAGTTGGGAAATTCCTAACTGTATTTGAGACAAACCACACTGTAACTGGGACAGGGCCATAGTTGGGGTGTAACAGCTACAACTGTAATCGATTTTTACCCTGGATCCAGGAGATTATTGATGCGATCCCTGACCAGCATCTTCCCCTGGGATACATGACGCTGGATGCTCTTTTCCCCACCTCCTTGTGTGACTGTAGCTACATTTGATTTCAGCTCAGCAACTAGTTCTTTCATGCGGACATAGTTTTCCTGTGTTGCAAATAAACAGTAAAATGTCAATTTTACCAAGATCTGTTTATTCATCCATGTTATTTTGTATGATTGTATAAAATTAGCCTGTTAACCAGGCTGATAAATACAGTTGACTCTTGTTAAAACAAACTCAGTGGGACCTTTAGCCAAAATGTTTGTTATATCAGAATTTTGTATTAGGTGGAGTGCCGGTCCTATTCACTGCACACATTAATGCACACTCGGGACCAAGGCTTTATGTTTGCTATAACCAGAATTTGTATTAGCCTAACTGGGATTGTATTAACGAGAGTCAATTGTATTTGAAAAATAGGCCAATGGCAATTTTTTTTAATCATACAGGGGCCTAGGCAGTGTAAAACAGTAAAGGAAGACAGCTCTTACTTTTTCGGGTAACAAAATTAACATGAGTGCATGGACGGAGAATCGAACCTGGCGCATCTTCACGATTCCTAGTCTTGCGCTCTATCCACTAGGCCACGTGTTCGCTCGGGTTAGAATGGCAATTTAATGTGTAGGCCTACTTCTATACGTGCCCATACGGGCACTGTACAATGTGCCGGCTTAAAAACGGGAAAAAAAGGGGGACTGGTTCACGGCTATATAAACACATCTTTAAAAAAATAATAATATAAAAGTAATACAAACACTTTGTTAATCTTATTGTCACAATTTCATTAATTTTAACAATATTTAATTCAAAATGAGGTGTACGTCATTAATATTAGTATTATACTAGGCATGCCTAGTCGAATATTATTAAAAGATACATTTATTTTTAGGCAGTGTATATTTTGCCGGAGACGGCAAACCTTTAGTAAATGTTAGTTTGCCGGATATGCACTGAACATGCGCAATTGGTTTGTGCACAAAATTAATTGTGTACAATGAATGGCGGTCGATTAACAGGCACAGAGAGCGATCGCTGTCAACTACTCGGTTTTGCCGGCTGCGCTGGCTGTTGGCGCATGACGTCACGCGGAAGCGTAACACCCGATGACTGTTTCATGCACTATTGGTTGCGGTTCCAGTACCAAAGCTGTGATGCGAGTGGTAAACCTTATATTAGTGCATGAAACAGTCATCGGGTGTTACGCTTCCGCGTGACGTCATGCGCCAACAGCCAGCGCAGCCGGCAAAACGAGTAGTTGACAGCGATCGCTCTCTGTGCCTGTTAATCGACCGCCATTCATTGTACACAATTTTTTTTGTGCACAAACCAATTGCGGTCCTGGCCAATCCAGCAAGGTTGTCAAGTTAGCGGTTATCCCTCCTGTTTTCACTGCAATTGTAGGCTGAATCTTCATCGTGGATCGTTTTTTACTTCAAGGACCTGTGTAATGGTTATTCCAGGCAAGTTTGGGGTGAGTTGCAGTTGCAATTAGTGTGTAACGGGGACAAAATTGAACATTTTCCAAAAAATTTTGCCTATACTACAAGTTACGAGAAAAATTCGCTCCAGCCCTATAGACAACCCAATGATAAAACTCAGGGCTGGGTAACTCCAGCTAGATAATGATAAACATGATTGATAAACACACCTTGTATTGGTCCGAATTCTTGTCTGGTGGTGTTCCGATCGTTGCAATTCTTTCACCATAATATGACCTATATGTGCCTGCCACATTCCTCCGCAAACTGCGACTCAAAAGGCGACAGCAAACATTCATTTTGACACTTTATATTGCACGTCTTCCTGCACAAAACAATGTTCAGATGGGCGCAGCCATGTTGCTTCGATAATCGATAATCACCGCATTTTCTATCTAGCGCCCTCTCTCGGCAGATTAGAAACAGGTTTTAGCGAAATATCGGTGTCACATAAACTGTGGACGTGTTGAATTAAAGTTTAAACCCTGCACGACGCAGACTAGACGCTTGCACTGTCCTCATCATGTTTAGTCTGGTTCCCTGACCCCATTGTCCTTTGGACTTCAAAAATGGGGCCAGGAAAGTCTACATCATGCTGACACTACGGTATGCGCAATACCACGAACGAGTCCGTATTTCACAGAGTCCATATTTTACAGTACACCGGTAGCTTCAAAAAGCTTCTCAAGTTATGATAGACAATGGTGACAGGACATTAAAAAATAAAACTGATATTAGTATTGAAAATACCGCACTGCCCCCCCCCCCCAAAAAAAAATATATATACAAAGAGCTAAAGAAAAGAAAGAAAAACCCGCAAATGTGCAATTTGTATTCCAGATCTGCAGTAAAAGCATGTCAAAGACAACACCGGAAAGAAATCAACTCCAGCTCATGTGTACTTGTTTATTCGATTTTAATTACAAATTTTCAAACTAAATCAATGATACCATTGTTGTTACCAATTAAAAAAAAAAAACCTCCCCAGTGATTTGTCAACAAGGTCTGCAACTTATATGAAAGTTTGCAGTTAAACACCTACCTATGGCACTGTAGGAAACATCACCCATACATACACATTAACACTGTAAAGTATGATCACTAAAAGCTCTTAAAAATATGACCATTGTATATGACGATTCTTTGTAGTTCACATAGAATATACATGTTTAACAGGGTATACGCATGATCTGATGATAGATGAATTTCAAATTTACAGCCACTTAAAGCCAATGACATTTATACACTGGCAACCTTTTCTTTAATCCCAATTCGGTGCTAATTTGAACTTTGAAGTTTCTCTATACATTCTTTAAGTTCAAACCGATTTTAGCCTTGCCAATTTCCATGTAGACGCTAAGCACGAGTTATGTGCTGAGCAAAACTCTGAAAACATGTCACAGGCAATAGACTGATTGCATTCAGCAGCCATCACTGAGGTGTGTTTTACACAAAAGCACACACCTCAGTGTAAATGATCTATACATCAATGCAGGTACATGATCACTATACACACACGAGGCCCCCTTCAATGGAGAAACCATTGTGCATGCTATTGTACAAAACAGTTACCCTATGACAGATTATCCAAGTAATAAACACGATGCTTCGTGATAGAATTGATGGCATGCCAGAATTTGTCCATACAGTGTATACTGCATGATATTTTGGATGGTTCTGGTAAACTGCTTAATTTTTTTTCTTTCTACGCCAATATTATCTCTGCAAGATTTTTAACTTCTCATCCCAAGTTTGAAGAAGTTTTTCTTTATGCATCACAGTTGAGTATGAAATTGATTAAGTTACACATTGTTCATGCATACAAAAATATGTTTGGCTAAAGTTACATGGCATTATCAGCACACACAAGGACAATCAACTAGACAATCAAGCCCCATTCATGCCTTAAGTGAAACACCTGGGATGCTAATGTGTTGGATGAATACTAAAAAAATCTGTACATTGTGTTCTATGTATCTTGAGGTTGGTCATGTGTAACGTGAATATGAACTGAAAGGATTCCATAAAAATGTTGTCAAACTGTACAGGCTGTGACACTACATACACAGAATGTACAAGTGCGAACAGCACAAGCTGCAAAGCTTAACTCTCCTTTAAAATGCAAAGATCCCCCCGACTCCCCACCTGCTGTATGTAAAAAAATATTCCTGCACACATAACATAATGTCTGGCCTAGTCTGGCCATAGAGCAAGACTAGGTCCTTGCTCTATAATGGGTCTGGCCCACAACCAAGACTGCTGGCACAGTCTATTTTGTTCAAACATTGCACCAGACTGAGTTTACTCCATTAATTAATTGTAACAACCGAACTTCAATAAGGTGATGAAACAACTGCAACTAAGTTCATGCGCATTCTTCGTCTGTAGTGTAGGAAGTGTTTTGATCAAGGTTGGGGAAGTATCACTCATGTTCCTGGGGCTCTGGACATTAGTCAGTCCGTCAGGACATCATCATTGCTTGGTCTCTGCGGTGATTTTTGGCGGCGTTTCGATAGCAGTGTTTGCGGTCGCGTTCCTGGATCTAATGAAGTTGGTGATTCGTCTGACACAGAGGAATCCTCCGTAGCCGGTGAGCGCCAACATGCTGACTGTGAAGGTCTTGTAGCCAATGTCTGCCACTTTCTTTCCCAAAGCCATAGTTGAGGATCTGCTGTGCTGAGATGTAGATCTCTGCCTGGAATTTTTGAAAACAAAACATTGAAATATAATGTGGAAACATATACATGTACTAGTACTAGGCCTAGCATTGTTATCATCGATGAATAATTGAATGGTTTACAACAGGAAATTTCAGGAGGTGAAACACCATCCATGCGGAGGTGTAACTGGGTAAAACCAAACCAGTCAAAACATTGAGAGGGAAGGGGGGGGGGGGGCGCCCTGGCTATGAACCCTGGCCCTGGCAAAGCCAACTATGGTCTATTACGCATACACAGATGTGGCAATTAATTATGCAACTAGCCTGTGTATAGCCCCATAAATGTGGCCCATTTACTGGACTGCCTCCGTAAACATAGGCCACACATCCACATGTACAAAAATCGTGTCGACGGAGCCAAATTTTGATTTTCACATTTAGGCTTAGTTTGTAGGTTTTTTTTGCTTTAGAAGCATACTCACCCTCTTTACAGGCTAATCAGAAAGTGCTGCCTTTTTCAGATGTCTAATTTTTGTGAAATTTCATGTTGAAATTTTGATACACAAACGTGTAAAAATGAATCTGGAAATTTCACGAAAAATATACATCTGAAAAAGGCAGCACTTTCTGATTAGCCTATAAAGAGGGTGAGTATGCTTCTAAAGCAAAAAAAACCTACAAACTAAGCCTAAATGTGAAAATCAAAATTTGGCTCCGTCGACACGATTTTTGTACATGTGGATGTGTGGCCTATGTTTACGGAGGCAGTCCAGTAAATAGGCCACATTTATGGGGCTAGCCTGTGTATGACCTCGAGAAACTGACCAATCAGCAGGCGCCTTCTAATGTTCTATACGCGCATAAATTTGAGCTCCCACGTACATGTAGCTAGGCCTAGAGTAGTCCGAGTAAATTGGATCCAACTTATCGCCTTTTTAACATTCAGTCATGGTCATGGTCTATTGCCAGACCTTTGTCCACGGCGGAATGTTAAAAAGGCGATAAGTTGGGTCCAAGTTACTCGGACTATGCCTACAGGTGCGGTTGTATTACGAAAATGCAGCATCTAAATTGGCCAATCACAATCTTAGTCCTGATTTCGAAATGAAATGACGTCACACACATGCTTACATATATCAGACATTAACACAGGAGACTTGGCTCCGTGGATAACGGGTGATACTCAGACGGGGTGGGGGGGGGGGCAACTGCAAAACAAAATGGCAGCGCCCATGACCACGAATGCTCTTACAAAAAACGAGTAGATTTTTAACCCGTTACGACTTTTAAAGAAATAGTAAACGTCTAAAAAGTAACTTTAGTATCCCAGTATTATGTTCTAGTGAATTACCGACACTTACGCTCTTGCTTTTTTGGTCCTAAACGTAAATATAATATTAATCCGTTCACGATTCAGTGTTCGTTCGCGTGATGTAATTTCACGAAGTGACTCCCTATTGAGGGCGCTATTGACCGCGAATAACTTTCGAGTCGTGACAGAACGTGTGCATCTGGTAGTGGCTGGCTCGCAATTCAAGGCCGAGCTTCTTCCTCTGAGCAAAAATAGAGCAAGGAACAGAGTTGATCTACTCAATTCCAATGATTTGGTGTTCGACTTACATTATCATTTAAAGAAAATGAGCGGAGCGGATACTCTAGAAGATAGACGGGTGGAGGATCTTGCTCACCAAGTCACAGAAACTTCAGATAAAAATGTTCCAATTTTGCTTCTTGCAATCCAAGGTGAAAATGTCTAGCTCCGTGGGCGGAGTCCAGTTTTTGGATCTTGGATATATAGTCATCACAAATTCATATCCAAATCTTGCCAAATATTTCTTTTGCTGTAAAAGTTTGGGGTAGAATGCAGTATCCTGGTTCCACTTTTTCCACCTTGTATAACGTTTTGAATAAGAATTAAGATGGTCAGGTATTAAAGTAAACAATTTCAATGAAGCCTGAATGCTTTCACGACTTTTTTTAATTTTTTTTTTTTTTTACAGTGCCTTAGACTGTGTACATAAGTGGCGTTAGGATTATTAAAAACTGTCATTTTTTTGGCACAGTCTTTTAAGTTTTATTTGGTTTGTAACCTATTTTTACCGCGAGCATTAACATTTACAATAAGGCGTTTCATGGTAATATGCGCCATCTTGCCCGCTGGGCAATTTTACATGCGTTGCTGTGTACGTATCGTCAATGGAAAACTTTTGCGCTCACAAGGTCATTCCAAAATACACCCGCGTCTCGCAACGGATGTTCTTTTTTCCCCCGTGAACAAAATGGCGCATATTACCGTGAAACACATTATTGCACTGCCCCCAAATGTCGCGTACGCTTTGCTAGCACCGAGTGGTTTATCCCACATTGCACCAAAAGTGAAAACCATATTGCACGCACAGCAACGATAATATTCAAATTGTATAATTTTCTTTGTAACCCCCCCCCCCAAGACATTTTGGACAGTGTCATCCCCAGTTCTCAGAGAGCTTCCAAAGTCAAGAAAGACATCTGGAACTTTGACCTTCTGCAGAGTGTCCTTCTTGCGCTGAGGCAAGACTTTTCTCTCATCCAGGGAAAGTGGAACACGGCTGCATCCCTGGCCAAGATCCTAGCGTGAGTTGGAGCTGTGAATTCAAACCTTTTACTTCTCGAAAATAGAGAATATGCACAGAGTGTCCTTACTTTGGACAGGCTTTTGTCATGTAATTTCAGGGACAATGAAAGTACCTGTACTGAGTGTTTTTCTCATTCATATTTTAAAGGAATAAAGACCTGTCCACAGTGAGAGTGTTTTATACAAGTTCTTTTGACTGCCAGACATTTGCTGCAGACCTCTCTTATTGTGAAGACTCAAGATGTGAATTTTGACTTCTGGAAGTGAAAGTGAGATGTTTGGGTGGCTTCTCTCAAGAATGGTTCTACTCTTAACAAATGACCTTGCAGACTTGTGCACAGGCCATTGTTAAGGGGCAAACCACCTTCCTCAAATTTTATGTCAACGCTTAAGTTTTCATGCTGTACTATTTTTTAAAAACTTTTTTATTTCTTTTTACCTGCACTTCACATCTCAGGAACCAGAAGTCCATATTTGTGGAGAACACATCGAGTTGATAGTTCAAACTAAATGAGCAGTTGTAGCAGTTTCACAAAGAATGACCAAATATAGTAGAGTAATCCAATTTGACCCTAACAGATGTGATTTTCAGATAGGGCAACTCTATTAACTTTTTGTTTTAAGTCATCCCAAGCCACTGCATCAGTTGACTGTACAACATAGTCGCTTCTATGTTTCAAGTGTTGAACTTTTCATAATATTTTAGATATTAAGAATAATTTGACAGGTATGGATAATGGTGCACCTCAGGAATGCCAGTCTGAGATAGATTTTACAAAAATTGATAAAACCCCTCATTTTCCCCCCCCCCCCAGGCATTGCGCAGTTGGCCTGGAACCCACGGACACCTACGAGTACAATGCCATCTTCCTCCCGGAGGCATCGGAACGTCTTCTCATCTTAGCCCGCAACATCCAGTTCCGCTACATGAAGATCCCGGAGAAGACGCTGACCTTGAAAGACGACTTAATCAAAGACTTCAAGGAGGTCATCGAGGCCTTACAGTGGCTCATCAGTGGCCATGTTTTCCTCACTATGCACGGTAGGAATGCATATTAGGTAGTGCTGTAGTAGAGGTATTTCTCCCTCCTCTCAACCCTTGTATGTTTTATTTTAATGCACAGATCTACCCAAAATATTGCCAGGCAGCAACTAATTCAAAATTTGTAAGTAATTATCCACAACTAAGCAATTTGTTATTTTTTCAGTGCTGAGATCCAATTACCTGCTTCAGATGTTGATCACAGATGACAAGGAGACTGCCATCGTCATTCTTGGATTGTTTCAGAACGCGGTCCGAGTCAACCCGTAAGTCTGCCGATAGTTCTCATGCCAGCTATATATAAAGTTAAGGGCTGGATTTTTCTGTTTGGATCTATAGGGGAATTAAAATGAATATGTATGTGGTGTACACTACAGTACACTGTAGCGTGCACTACAGTACAGTGTGGAACGGTACATTTCACATTTCACGTCCATAAATCAAAAACCACTATCCACAGTTTACCTTTTCTTAAGTTTAACTTATTTGGGTAAGACTGATTTCCATACACATCCAAATAAGAAATCACGATTTTCAGTGGCACATCAGGCACGGCATTTTTTTTCAAGTGTCATGGAAATTCTCCTTTTTATTCAGTCGGGGTTTGATGCAGGTCCAACTTGGATGTTATTTTGCTAATTGTCTTGTTTCTCTTCTCCCAGAATGGTCCTACAGACACTAGATGAGAAGGTGGTCCACAGTCTACTGGATGAGGTCATCTACAAGCTGTCAGCGTTTAATGATGCAGAGGTCGGTGCGGCAGCTACCAGGGCTCTGGTCAACATTGCCGATGTCCACCAACAGCTCATCAGACTGCTCTACACACGATACAAGTAAGATGAATAGCGGGGTTATATAGGTCCTGCAATTACAGGATTTCTCTTTGATAAAATTGCGGATAACATATTGGGGCCGTGTACTTTCTTGTGTACCTCAGATTTCCTGCAAAAATATTAGGGCCCAATTACTTGCCTAAAAGGCATATATGATCATTTGCTTTTTATGCATTTTGTTCGTTTCCAATAATAACACCACTCAAAATCCAAAGTAGAAGGTTGAAAAGCTTACCTGTTCAAGTTTCAGCTCAGTGGATACTACTCTTTTTGAGAAAACAGTGAAAAACCATGCACATCCTTTTGATCACAAAACACGATTTTGTCTATAACACTCTTTGTTTAAAAAAATCAGTCAATTGACTGATGTTGGAAATCATCTACATTTCTTCTAAATGACAGCAAAACAGACCAGTAAGATCCTTAAAACCAAACAATTAATAATAATAATTCGCTAGGTTACTTTGGGGATAGATGCAAATGATCCTATATGCCTTTAAAAAATGTGTGTCTGTGGTTCATTAAGCATTCCATCGCACTTGCATCTCACAGAGGACTGAGGCCACTTTTGAGCCGGTGGACTGGTAAGGGCTTCGGCCGAGACTTGAAGAAGCTTCTGGGATTACTGGATGCGGGGTCAACCCAGCAGGCAGAGATGCAGGTCAGGTCATTGGTCAAATGCCAATACATTCCACTTCGATAGGGCCTACGGACAGGAACGAGGTCGATTGAGAACCCTTGGTCGGCTCGTGGTTGATTTGATAAGTAACTTATGCCCATGCACTAATAGCAATGTAAAGCGCCTCAATAAGCCATTTGCAAGTTAAATTTGAATAAAATCTGGAATGCTGTCTTAATCCAATGCTTTGCAGGTTTTAACTTTGCATTCTCTCGACCAAAGAGACTGTTACTATATCACATGATTCGGGGCAAGCCTTACGCTAGCAACCCCCAGCTCCGGCATGGTCTGGTGTCTTTGTGCCATTCTCACCCATTGTGAACAATGTATTGGTGCTGAGTGTCTCTTGCGTAACTATGCAAGAGCTTGCCCCGAATCATGTGATTAGCAACAATGTCTTTGGTCTGGAGAATTCAAAGTTAAAATGTGCCAAGCATTCTGAGCAAGTCAGTGTACCAGATTTGTACCAGAAACTCTACAAAAATGTACACTGTATTAACCCTGTGGAGTATTCATGGTACGTGTCTTTACCTTGTACAATGCAGAGACTACATCGAGCAGCCAAGACCATCCAGGCAGTATGGAAAGGATTCCAGACTCGAAGGCAATTGAAGAAAGCCAACAAAGCATTCACCAGACTACAGAAGAGCTTCAGGTAAAAAAACGAATGCTACCCTGCATGACCAAACAGGAGGAATTATAACATTATAGATGTCACATGTAACAGGGACAGGGAAAACAAGAGGACCCAATATAGAATGACTCTCGTTAATACAAACTCAGCCGGACCTAGCCAAAATGTTTGCTATATCAGAATTTTGTATTAAGTGGAGTGACGGTCCCATTCATTGTACACATAAATGCACAGTCAGGACCAAGGCTTCATGTTTGCTACAACAAGTTTGTATTAACAGTGTTTGTATTAACGAGAGTTGACTGTACCTTGTGTACAATGCCTGGATTGTTCCCCAAAACATTAGATTGTTATTGTCCCCACTGCTTTACACAACACATTTCAATTAATTACAATTTCCCATCTCCAGAGAGAAGCAAGTACAGCGTGACTTGCATGCCGAGAAGGAACGAGAAAGGAGGGAGCTGCAGCATCAGCTGCTGGTGTCGAGGAGGCAAGCTATCCGACAGACCAGACAGAAACAGCTGGATATGATCACTGCTATGGCACCAGGTATGAGGGATATGGGCTCTGTGCATAGTAGATAGTAGATAGTGCTTTGTGAATGCTTGTGAGAGCTGTGTGGGAGGGACACTTGTTACATAGTGATGCGTAATATTTGGCTTTCTGCGTTCTAGTTGCATTATTTTTGTTTCTATAGTTGTTGTGGTGTTCAGAGCTTTGTAGGTCCATGAAATGCTAGGAACAGGCATGCAACTTTTCCTCGGATCTGCTGATTTCCTTGTTTTTTTTACTTCTCATGAGTGCCATTACAAATTGAAAAATGCAGTACAAAGTCTTGTGTGGTTTGGAGTTTCCTCGTTTTTCTAAATTCCCAGTTGCATGCCTGTACTAAGGAAGACAGTGACAGGAAATATATGTTTTGGGTGACATTTAAGTTTAACATGAAAAAAATGGGAGGAACAGATGGCTGGGGGGGGGGGGGGGGGGAGGATGGAGTCCATTTATTGATGGTAATGCACACTGCGTAGACCTTTATTTTCAGTGTGATGACTGGCCAGTTTATTGTAAAATATGCTTCTAAGATCATAGATGTCAAACAGCATAGGAATTCGTCATGGAAAGCCCTAATTTCGTCCTGGAAACGTCATCTAAAAGTCATGGAATTTCATTTTAAGAGTTCACCATGAGGGATTGTGTGAGTGCAAGTAACCCTGGTAAACAAATTTTAATCCAGATAAAGTTGTTCTACCCTGCTAAAAGTTTATCCACCATCTATCACATTTTATCTGGAAAAAAAGAAAGATTATTGTTACTCATAGAATCTTGATCAGTATAAAATATATCTAAAAAAAAAAATGGAACTTAAGTAACACAGTATAATCTGTAAGTAGCCAGTGTAATAGTTTTCATGACTAGCTGTCGGTCTTGTAAGCTCATCCTCTGTGTTCCTGAAAGAGTGCCTTCTAAGACGCCGCACCTTTGACAGTTGCAATTGTGGTACTATCATGGCAAAGAAATGGGGCCCCAATTGTAATCACCAGGCATGAGATTTTGTAGACTTTTCTCTGAAATCAGGCCTTTTGAATCTGACAGATCTTTCAGACCTTTCATCCACTTTTCAGTCCTTTTTTTTAAAATTGACAGTCTAATCCCCAAATCAAGTTGCCACTTAAATTTGATACTCCTTCCTTTGCAGGGAAAGTGGATGCGTATTTGCAGATGTCTCAGATTGCAGCAGCCGTCAAGTTACAAGCTCGCTGGAGGGGGATCATTGAGAGACGTAAGCTGGGTCTACGTCAGGCCACGGCCAAGCAAGTCAGGGCAGCCATCACCATTCAGAGAGTTGTAAGCTGCCATTCGTGTGCTTGGTCAGACTTGAAATCAGTTTGGTAAATGGTTTGGTAAATGTTTTGTGTACCGACACTACCAATGGAGAGGTTTTTCATTTTGCATTTTAATGTGGCTGCTGCCATCTTGAGTTTTCGCCCAACTCCACTCCTCATGCACTTGGGCATTTGAATTGGGCAACCTGATTCACACTGTTCACGGGTCACTTGAGAACGGGGTTTTGAATATGCCCATTTTGTCTGACTGAAATGTAGTCTAGTCAAGTCCTCCAGTTCCAATTTGAATCACAAGCTATTCAGATGAGGTTTGACAATGGCATTCCCTTGTTATTGTTCATCCACTGTTCCTCCTGAGAGGACTTGTGGTTTAGTTGTGACTGGACTTGTGATGGACTCGACCACATCCCTTATGTCTAATTTAATACTGTTTTTAATGAATCAATAATTTTGTTTATCTTTGGATGCTTGTGATTCTACCTGTTCTGTTTTGTGGGGTTAGGTTCGTAGATTCCTGAAGAGACTGGAAGAGAAGAAAAGGGAACCGTTGTTATTCCGGCCTCCCCCTGGCCTGACGGACGAGAGGAGAGTTGACCTGCAGAGAACTATTGATCAACATAGAGAGGCACACCCGGTAAGAACATCAAAGAATTTTGTTATGCTGTGAAATTTAATTGGTTGAAAACTGTTCAGAAATTTCAGAAATTGCCTGATCATTATGGCCTCCATGCGTGAACAAGAGAGGGCGCTTTTTGACCACTTTCGAGGGCCCAGTGGACGGGACTCGTTGCATGCGCATAATGGTTTGTGTGCTTAAAGCGCTGGATATGCACAGCTTATATTTTTTTTCTGAATGTGCACAAACTCATAGCGTCTTTGAGTGAGCGTCGGGCGTCGTCGGCAATGCATTTGAATGTTTCTCTCAGTAGTCTCTCCCAACTCTTCCTTCCTGACCGTTGAGGGGGTATTTGTGCACGGAGCCCATGCCCTCTCAAATGAAACTATCTTTCACTTGTTTTGTGTGGTCCCTGTCATCAGCCCAAGCAGCTGAGCCGACAGCTGCAGCAGGAGCTACACGACGAAGCCCAGGAGATGTTGGGACGCTACCTCAGCGTCCGCATGGCTCACCGTAAGAACTACCAGAGGAGGGAGGCACTCCTGGCATCGCTGGAGACAGATGCTGATCTGCTCAGCGGTAAGAAGGGGTAGAAAAAGCAAGGGTGTGGCAAGATAAATTTGAATGGGGGGGGGGGGGGTTGACAGCTTCGCGCCATACTTGCTTGAAGCAGTCAGCGGATGGATGTGTCCAGTTCTTGCGAGTGGTCACACACTAACCAGGGCTCCCAGTCATTCTGGAAATCAGGGAAAACCTTGAAAATGAGTTTCCATTCTTCTAGTCAGGGAACACTCAGGGAATTTGGGAGAAAAACACCAAAAATCAGGGAAAACTCAGGGAATGTGACAGTGACCCAGAAGGAAAAGGTTTTCGCCAGTTTGGCGTATGTGCGTCTTGTGCCATGTGTCCAAGGTGTGTCCATTGACTGACTGACTACCTGTAGTCGGCTTTTAGTGTTTAAGCATTGTGAATATTACACACAGCTTTCCGGACAATAACAATTGGTTTTGCTACATGTACTGCTAACCACCTCTTAGATTTGTTAAAGTGAAAATATTTGTCAGTGAATTTTGGAAATTTCTCTGGGAAATATCGAGAAAAACTCGGGGAATTTTGTTTTCAAAAAGTGCTGGGAACCCTGGTTAACATCTGTTAATACCAGAACCCATAAAGCTTTTTACTACTGTAATAGCTATCAGAAACAAGTGTCAACTTGTTCACATCTGATCTTCCTAGATGCTCCCAAGCTGTGTGACCTGACGGATCGCGACATGCACAAGTTCACCAGTCACTCGGCCCCGATCGCCGCCAAAGCTTTGGCCAATCACAAGGAGCAGATGTTGATGCTGCGTCAGCCGTGGTGGAAGAAACTGAATGCCGGAGAGAGAACCGATGAAGAAGCTGAGCAAGACTATGACTCCAACATCTTATGATGATGACAATGAGTAAACAAACAAATTCTGGGGCCAAATTTTATGGACTCCATTTCTGTTTGTTCCACTTACTGCCTTCAGCCAAGTGCCTTGATGAAACCTAAACTCAAAATCAGGGAGTACTGAAATATAACTGAGCGTTAACCCCTTAAGGACGGGAAGCGGTCATGGCCACGGCCGCTAATCCTCATTGGAATGCAGTTGCCAGCTGTGGTATGCCGTGGCACACAGCTAGTGGGTAGTTCCACAGCTGCTGCTTTTGTGCAGTCCCGCTACCACACAAAGGCTGTGCAGTCATGCGAGCCACTTGCTCTATGTGTGGAGGAATGTCCCCATTACACCCTGTCCTTAAGGGGTTAATGCCTTGTAAGATTTAACATTAAAGACATATAGGATCATTTGCTTTTCATGCATATTGTTCAATTCCAATAATAACACCACTCAAAATCCAAGGAGGATTGTTCAAAACCTAACCTGTGGAAGTTTCAAAAAGTGTAACGTCAGTGGACATTACACTTTTTGCAGAAACTGTGGAAAACCATGCACAACCTTTTGTGCACGATTTTGTCAATAGCACTCTTTATTTCCAAAATCAGTCAAGTGACTGATCACTAGAAAAAGCCTACATGTCTTGATTTCCTTTGAATGACAGCAAGCCAGACAAAATTATTTCACATGGTGTTTACCAGTACGATCTTTAATGGGAGTTAGCTTTTTGATAATTCGGTACGTTACTTTTGGGATAAATGCAAATGATCTTATATGCTTTAACGCATGTTTACTGCTAAGGTTGATTTCTTGAGAGGTAAGCATCAACGTATAATTGTGTATGAAAGTAGTTTACATTTAAACTGTGTTCGTCTTGCATTTTATTCATTTTTTTGAAACGGCTTGAGTGCAATATATATATTGGATCGAGTGTTGCTAGCTGAAGCATGTATAGCAAATGGTATTTGGGCAAAAAATTTCTTTCATATTGTCAATTTAGAAATTGTCAACATTCCATTTCCGTCCAACTGATATTTGTACATATGCACAATTGTATAAAGTCATTTAAGAAGTGAACTTTTTGTCTGCAACTTGAAACTACAGAGAAATATACTGTTACTTCTGTATCAACAATGACACAAAATTAAAACACAAAAGCAACTACATGTATGTTTCTGTTGTTTCATACAGTTGTTTTATTGTAAATAAAACTATATTAAATTCTACAAGGGTAAAAATGTCATAAAAAAAATCTTTAAATAACAGAGTTTAATTGTTTAAATGACTGGGCGTTGCCCGAAATTCAAAGATCAATTTTACCCCTAATAGTTTCAATGCTTTCAAATTTTGGAATGGCATCTATATTTCTGATTCAGTTGAATGTCCAACACTGTCCACCTTGGACCATTTTGTGTGACCTCACGACAAATCTAGTGGACCTTGAACTTTGCCCTGAGAAGGTGCATTATTCTTTAAAGTATTTCAGTAGATCCAACTGGGTGAGTTGTTTGATGACGGCTTCATCCCACCCTTTATTGGCAGCAGGGTTGATGGGAGATGGGTGCATGATGGTTACCACCCGTACCCCTTCCACTCCCCCTGCAGCTAAAGCCTTTTTGGCTCTCTCTTCGGCAAACTTCCCGATGCCCACCACCACCTTGACTTCGAGGAGCTGGATCATCTTGCAGATAAACGTGTCGCAGAGCTCCACGATCTGCTTACGCGCTCCGACCAGCATGCCCGGTGGCGTGATGTTTTTCCCCGTCTCGGACATAAAGACCAGACTGCAGTGGTTGTAGACGAAGGCGTGACGGAAGAAGGCCTCGGGGGTCTTGCAGAGGGACTTCCAGAGACCCCAGAAGCGGCTGCCGCTGACTTCTTTGCGGTCGCAGCTCAGGCCCACTATCTGTCTCTTGGGGTGCTCCTTGGGAGGCTTGCCCACGTTTCCCTTGATGCCAAGGAAGTCGTTGACAGAATCCCTCTCTCCGAAAGGAACCTTGTAATAAAGGGGAACAAATGAGTTTCAAAAACCTTATGCCATTTACCCAAACTAAAGCTTAGCCTTGGCTTAGCAATAGGCTATGTCTGTGCTATATTCCTGTCTTCTAAAAGGATCAACCAATCAATGACTATGGAGAAAATGTATGGAAATATAGACCAAGTACATGTACCAGATATTTCTTTGGACACAGAAAAGTGTTGAACTGGTTCTTTCATGCCCCAGTCCATTCCTTTAACCCACTAGCACCTGCTACAGTGACTCGAGGGTTTACTGAGTAGGTTTTGTACTCTCAATAGAAAGATTTGAGAGCCAATTTTCAGACGAGGTAATAGTTACAGATAAGAAAAACAATCACCCCATTCTGTGCCATGCCAAACGGGCCAGGGTTCATCCCAAGGAACAAGACCTCCTTCGTCGAGTTGCAGTATTTCCTTATGAAGTCCTCGTGGGGCTCGCTAGCGTACTCCAGGGGATTGTACACGTACTCCACGGGCTTTCCGAACTTCATGCCCGCCACGTCCCTGTTGAACGGCGCCACCAGTTCCGACAAGAAGCGGTCGGCGATGCCGCCTGATGATGTTGGCACTGCTGCTGCTGCTGTGCTGTTGCCTGCTGCAGCACTTGCAGCTGCTGCTGCTGCATCACCTGTCGCGTTGACGACATCTTGTTTCAGACTTGCGTCACTCGGTTCGTCTGCTCCATCTTGTTGCTTGCTTTTAGGAACTTTTTTTGGTTTAGCACTTTGGTCTGGAGCTGCAGCCCTTTTCCGAGGCATCGTAATTAGTACGTACTCTCAGCTGATCTTCTGGAGGTGAATAAATCGAGGAGAAAATAAGGTAAATATGACAGCACTTTTTAAGGTTGACGCAATTATTACAAAACTAAAAACATTAGCAAAGCAAATATAGCGCCAACAATAACAGTTTCATTTTGACACGTCCAATTATTAATGAGGCCAAATGAAAAAAAAAAACATGTTTAGTGTCCTCGCCCACTTCCTTTTTGAAGGCCACCTCTTTTTTTTCTTCTTTTTACAGAAAAAAACGATAAATTTTAAACAGTGACATCATTTTGGCCTCCTTGTCTGTTGCATCTAGCCCATATAAAGCTGGTATGTCATTTTCTGAGTCCAATGACGGCCATTTAAAAATAATGGCTGCCATCTCTTGAAATATAGCCCAGAGGGGCTGCCTTTTGAAGAGAAAAAAAAAGGGCCTCTCGCTTCTTTTTTTTCTCAAAAAGGCAGGCCGCAAAACATGTTTTTTTTTATTTGGCCTAAATTTGCAATGTGTCATTTTTTGTGTGTGACTTTGAAGTGCATAAACTGGTGGTAGAACGAAAAAGGACCATAAAAATAACTGGATTATTGTCACTGCGCACCATTCACCATTTTTAACTTTAGGTCAACTTAATTTAACATTAGATATATTGCTGCAACAATACTCAATAGACCTATATTATATTTTTTTCAAACGACAAAACAAAACTGATTGGTGATAAAAATAAAAATAACAACAGTTTTTAATACAACTACATGTATGTATGTATGTATTATTTACACTTACAGTGGAACTGTGCTGGTACATCATTGCAACTTACTACTTGGACAAAGCTAAGGCACAAGGCAGGGGTCTAAAGTACAAAACTGATAAGCTCATGATTTCCCTCCATAAATAATGGTTGACAATGAATGACAACAGACAAGCTACAACAAAAACCCTTCATTTTTAATACAAATTTTATTGTTATTTCTCTTCATTGGTTTAACTTTGAGCCATAGACGTTTTGTATCCCATTGCAAATTCCCATAAGAAAATATCCCATAAGAAAATATCTTAGTGGCCGTATATACTGCATTCATTGTTTTTCGTTCATAATTACCAAATTATTCGGGAGAAAAACTTAGCGTCGTCTGCTGCTGCTACCTCCTGTCCATAAACAACACGTGTTTTTTCAACGTTGATGGCGCCCGTTACGTTTTCCACCCGGAAGTAAAAAAAAACCTAGCGCGTCATTTTTACATTTTTATGCAGACGACGTGACTGAGCGAGCAGGATGAGGAAGTAGCTGCTGAAAAAAATTGAAGTTTGTAACTTTGTAAGCTGCGATGAAACTCCGAAAATACAGCTTTTATTTGTGAATTATCTGATGTTTGCCGTTGTGTCATTATGCCGGAACTGGAGCATGTCATTGAGGAGGTGAAACGGTTCCTCAAAGGTAATGTTTGTGGCAGAATTTTATGTTCAGTTTTTACGATTTTCGGCGATCATGTCGCTTTACCGTCGCATAAGCAATCGTCATCGTGTGCTGTGGGCATGTGAATGTTCATTTCATCACCGCATGTATTTCCTCACCATATTGAAATCTGTAGATGTTTTATGCTTTCATTTTACTTAGTACATTTATGCCTTGTCATTTTTCAGTCAATATCACATTTAATTTATTTATACAATTCCGTTTATAAAAAATATAGAAAATTTTTGTTTGGACAAAATGCTGAATTATTTGAATTACTTAACATTCTGAAGGCTACTTTGTAACTAGTTAGTTGTAACTTAAACTAGTTAAGTTTAAGACAACTGGACATCAATCTCGGTTTTTATCATCATTTATACATTTGTTACAATTACTCTTTATGGTACAATTTTAAGTTTTACAATACTTTTAATAATATTATAATTATTTAGAGTTACATTTTGACAGATTTAAATTTCCTACACATGTACATTGTCTTCCTTTTAAAAATAGGACAAATGTGTAGTTACGGGCCCCTCTTTTGTTTTGGTCAAGTTCAATTCAACTTTCAAGAGTGTTTTTTTATCATTCCAAAATGACTTCTGCACCTTTTCTTAATTCCAATGACACTATTTAGTATTTTTTTATTGGAATTTGAACAGAATCTCTAGGCAGTTTCACTTGATGTCATGTGACTCAATGCGGTTCTGCACATTCATGGTGCGTCGCATTGATTGTCATCTTTATTTTTGTGTTCCATTTTGTTGTCTTCTTCATTGTTTTACCCCCAAATCCCTCAAAAAATTAAAACCCTTCCTAAACCACGACTCTCCTGTTGGGTTTAAATGTTGCTAACTACATGTAGTTTAGTAAGTCAAATAACCTACAACACACTGGATTTTTGTTCTCTTATTGAAACAGTGCTTGTAACTACACAGTTTCTAGAAATAAAGACATAAATGATGTCAGCTTTGTTTACACATGTGCGCTTTCTTATGGGAGGTTGGTGGCTGTCATCCCAACCTGGCTCCCATAGGAAATCACACATGTGTTTTTTTTGTTCAGGCATCGCACCCTTTGCACCGCTACCAAGCACCATGTACATGTATGATGATCAGGAAAATGTTTTACAACCTGACGCCACTTTTTTCTTCATATCATCTCAATGATGGTCAACCATTGCCAAAATGATGATAAGACATGAATCTGAGAATGAGAAACATTTCCAATTTTGTTAGGAAATACTTTTTGTTAGAAACATTTACTTGACTCTCCATAAACTTTGTACACAACTGCTGAAGTGGCCTCAGGTTGAAACATTCTTTCCATGATGATCTTCGGGAGATAAATGCAGCTTCTAAGACTAAGAGGGATACATACATGTACTCAATGGCTGAAGAAGAAAGTGTGACGTGATGTCATATTACAAATGTATTAAAGCAGGCCTATTGACAATAGAGCAAGGGACCTTCATTTAATATGAAAAATATGTAATTTCTTAAACAACATCAAAATGTCCTTGGCAAATCAAATTAATAAATCTGAGGTTTGATGCCCTTAAACATGTTTACCAGTTTTCTTTTAGTCCAGTGCAACATACATTTATAAAGTTTTGTTTTTTAATGAAAAATTTTTTGGAATGTAAACACTGTTTACCTTAACAACATCTTTACTCCTTTTTACATGTTTAATTTATCTCTGCAGTTCAAAACAATTTCAGGGTTTAAAAAAAAAAGAAAACACAAGTAAATTATCTCATTAAGTTATCAAAACACAAATTATACAACCTAATTTTGAGCTTGCAAACTACATGTACCACATGTACATGTATGTATCTTCACTTGATACATGTAGCTTGAGCTGTCAACTGCAAACTGACAACTGCTTTGCAAATTGAGCAAGAAGATTTGACAAAGTGATGGGCAAGTGCAGTATAAGCTCAAGCATAAATCTGCATGTAGAAGAGAGCATTTTTGCATAGTGAGGTAAAAAAAACTTGAGCCAATACGTGTACGTGCTCACAGCGTACAGTATACAATGCATGTAAGAAAATGCTCCTTACTTGTTGTAATACAGTGCACATATGCCAGTCAGTAAGGCAAACGAGGCCAGCAGGCTAGCTTGGCCATTAGTCATGAGGTCATGATGCTCATGAGGTATCCTATGCCCTTACTCAGTATCCTGTGGAAGCCTGTTGCAGCTTTGTTTGCGGCCTAAAATAGTCTCATTTCTGAAAGCGAAATATCCAGTACCTTTGTTCTGTTTGAATACATTGTTAATACTGGCAACATGTATACATACTTAAATCTGTCCATTTACATATAAACATCCTATCTTAATATGGAATTTACATGCGTCATACCGGTACATGTATCTTCAACTTGGTTTATTTAATATGGACATGTTTCAAAACCGTGTTTGTTCAATGCACATGATTTGAAAATAATAAATAAAACAAAAAAAAGTAGAAACTGTCTTGACAACATAATTGATATTGATAATATAATTGAAAAAAAAGAAGATAGGTACGTAATATACATGGCAAATTAACCCAAACATTACTTTATAATTGAATAATCCACTCCCAAAATTCACCACTTAATGTCTTAATTCTGTTACTCCTATCAGCAGAATGTTAAAGGCCACTTCACTTTCGACTCCCTCCCCCTACAGCCTTCATCCTCTCGCAAATGACCCCTTATTTCCTTATCCCCGGCCCAGCCATCCCTACTCCCCCAGGCAATGCATGCATATCTTGTGGTTATTTTGTTTTTAATGAATTTTACAGCTGACACTCTCGATCCACAGGCGGATGAACGACGTTTCCTTTTCAGCATTCTAAACTTTGATAGGATCTACATGAGACAACAAGCTCTATATAAAAACAGATTTTACACATTTGTAGAGTTTGTGCTTTATAATCCACGGTCACGACTGCAAGATTTTATACTCATGAACATGATGAAGGGGTTTTGATTATAAATGTGTGCATCCTAATTGAATGTCATTGTTTTTTTACACTGTTATGTTTTTTTCCCTGTAACATTAATAAAACTTAGGTACAGCTTTTATTTGGCCTACGAAGGTGTCGCTTTTCTCTCCATTGGGAAAGACAAAACCACCTAGGGTTTTGAACAGGGACTCAGAGAATCTGTTGTTTTTAAACTTTTTTTGGCAAGTTGAAAATTGTTTTTGCAAATGAAAAACAAATCAGTACTACAAACACCCAAATACATTTAAGCATTAATTTTTATATTTAAGAATTATTAAAAAACTACAAAATTATCATGAAATGCCTTACTGGACTGTTAGTGAATGACAGTCTAAAGCATCCTGTAAAATCGTGGCACCTAGTGTGCTGTCATTTTCAAGAAAAGTGGTATTTTTGTATCAATTTCCAACGCTGGTCGGCCGACTAGCGTTGGAAAAAACTGTTTCTTTTTCTTCAAATATTGCCCCCTATTTACCATATTTCGTTAGTCCGCATTTTGTTTGCAATCGATTGCACACCTATGAACCAGTGCAAGCCAGCTAGACTGGTTCCCTGACCTCACAATTCCTCAACGTTTATAAATTGCTCCGTTTCATCTTTAAGGGGTCAGGGAACCAGACTACAGGAACATGAATGTTTTTCTTGGTTTTTGCAGCATCTACGAAGACATATAACTCCAAACAAGTTAATGGAACAATATTGCTATAAAATGTTAACCCTCCAAATCCATCCATTTTTTAAAATTACAGCAGAAGCAAATGTTATATATTCCCTTTAATTCTTTTTATTGTACATGTACCATGAGCAAAGTAATTTTCTTTTGATGGAGCAAAAAAGTAATTCAGTTTACTTCAAGTCACTTCAATTTAATTCAATCCATAGCCTTTTAATTTTTCTTTGGTTTTGTATAGATGTTGAGACGTATCTGTCCATCACCCTTAAGAAGGAGAAACTGAAGAGAGAGACCAACACGAAGAGAGAGGAACTTCTCAAGGATGTAGCCAGCATCATCGTCAAACTCTCACCACCTGAGATAGAGGAAGAAGAACAAGGTATTCTCAAGATGTCATAAGTTGCAATGAGTTGCATACGTTTCTTTTCCTTATAGTTTTAGAATGCCACGTGTGTGTACATAATGTTTATCCTGTGCTGTGGCAACCCTCTTAATCCCTAAACGCCCTCCTCCCCTGCGACCCTCGGCGACCTTTTTTTATCAGCTTTTAAAAGATGATACAGTTTTTTTGGGAATATACCTGAGCCCCTCTTTATCAGGTGTTTTGTAACTCGTTTCTCATTGGACTTACACACAATATCACTGCCCTCGTGCGATAAAGAAACATCATTTATTTTGGCAATGCTGGCAGGTTTGGATGGCCTTGAACAGTATCCAAACATACCCATTCAGAAAAATTCTGGGAAGAAATTGAACTTGCATGTGTATCATCGGTTTGCAATTTTCTAAATATACCCTCTCTCCCAGCTCTTCCCCTGTTACTGGTTGACCCCGGTTCCCTGCTAATTTGATTGCATTATACAAGGTCGTTCGTTTATTACCCAGGATGGTTTCCCCATGTCATGTGCATGCAGTCACCTGCAAAATAATCACCAGTGGTCCCCTGCATTGAAAATTCACCATTTCCTAAAACGGGCTGCTGACAGCGCGCCAAGCAGCGCCAGTCGGACCCTGATAAAATTCTCCCGTGGGACTCCCAGGGAAAACGTCACTTCCCCAAAGAAAATCCCTTCAATGTATACACGACAGACAGCTGAAGGAGTTGGAAAACTGCACAAGGATAGGGGTTATGGGGATGAAGTTTTAGACATTTAAATATTTGATGGAGTATATCTGACAACTGAGGGAGCTGTTGCTGTGAGGTTACTTTTAGGCACACACTCTTCAGTGTAGTGGTCTTCTTTTCAAATTGTGAACCCAAATGTTTGCTTACTGAAAAAAATTGTGCATCATTGTTCATGGCTTCATGTTATCTGATCACAGACCTGTAGTTAAAAAACTCAATCCCCTGCCATGCCTTTACACAGGCTAGTCACCAACAGTCGGATCATATTTCAGGCAAGCACTGTGACAATTTCAGTCAACAGACAAAAGCAGGCAAGTGGTAGGCGCAGTTGGCTCATCAATCACCTACAGTCAAAGCATAGCTTTATCAAGTTGCATAAACAGTCACAGCCAGTCAATCCTGCTTTATGTAGGCTGGGAGCTGAAGTTTCTGCCTAAAATGACATAACAGGTTTCCTCATGAAGATGGAATTTTGCACGAGCAGCAAAACCAAAGAGATATTAAAACACCCCTGAAAATGGCAACATGAAGATTGAAAAAATAAAGATAATGGGACTAAAATTTGCATCAAAAGGATTGCATATAAAAATATGTTACAGGGGCCTAGCCTCCCTTTAACATTAATGAGTTATTTATAGATCAAACCATTCATATGGCATTGGTTTCAATTTTAGGAGATTCCCCGGGCATGCAGCAGACCAAATAACCCCTTCGTATGTTCAGCCCATCCCTTCCCCACCTTATGGTCATATTATATGACATCAGGAGGGTATATAGTCTGTCTTTGGTCTACGGCTGAATTATTTGGCTATGGCTGGCAGTACTACATGTGTCTATGGGAAGTGGCTGCAGCCGCTTCCATGTATTGCAAGCCACAGCCAAGCAATTTATTCAGCCTTAATCTCCAAACTGCTTTGAAGTTTTAAGAGCTAAATGTACATGTAGTTAGCCCTGTAACTACATGTAAGTTGCATTTCTGCTACGGAACCTACATGTACTTAAAACCCTCAAAGTCAACCACTGTCAGAATTCCCAGCCAATTTGGAAATTACATTTAAGTGAAAACCTTGATAATGAGTTTCCATTTTTCCGGTCAGAGAAAACTCAGGGAATTTGACAGTGACCCAGAAGGGTGCAGACCAGTAAATCGGTCCGAAATTGCCTGCGCCGGCCAAATCACGATTTGCATGCCCTCAAAATCTTCGGTATTTGAGCATGCTGTGGGCCATGAACGTGAGGGATTGTAAAAAATATGGGTGGAAGCCGTGCACAGGACTGGGAGCTTGCAGTTCTGTGTAATTTTGATGTAATTTGGACCCTAAAAGCGCTCTATTTTGCAATGGAGTGTAGGCATCGTTCTTCAAAATGGGGATGGGCTTCAGGACTATTTTCAGGGGTGATCATCTTCAGATGGAAATTTCTCCTAAAAGTCATCAGTTGACCCCCCGAAAATTGAAAAGAAAATGAAAGATGATGAAATAAGCTTTAATTTGATGTGTGTCTCGAACACCTTGGAGAGTTGTGAGTATTTTTCCCGAATTTTTGAAGTGGGAGCATTTACCATTGGGGTCTATGGAAGTTTATTTACTGGTCTGCTACCTATAGTTTCAAAATGGCGCCTTCCATCGTTTGTTGTCAAATGTTTGCGGAGTGTTTTTTTTTTTCAGGGGGGCGGAACCTGGGGGGGGGGGGGGGGGCAGCGTTTAAAAAGGGGTCACCAATGGCGGTTCCGCAACAAATGCGCCCAAAATCTGAATAGGGCCGATGGACCGTCGTCCGATCACAGCAATTTCGAGCGAACAAGGGGGGGGGGTAATTTGGGGTCGGAAGGAGCAAAAACTCAATTAACGCCCGTTGGGGGCGCCCTGCAGTAAGGTAGCCGCAAACAGAGGGTTTGTTTTCAGGCCAGAAATCGCAGTCAGAGATTTTTTTTCTTGCAATTTTTTGATGAAATATGAGTCATCCATCCTTCCTCGTGCCGTACAAGTGGTTTGGGGAAATTTTTCAAAACCTCGCTTCTCTATAGTTTCAAAATGGCGCCTTCCATCGTTTGTTGTCAAATGTTTGCGGAGTGTTGTTTTTTTTCAGGGGGGCGGAACCTGGGGGGGGGGGCAGCGTTTAAAAAGGGGTCACCAATGGCGGTTCCGCAACAAATGCGCCCAAAATCTGAATAGGGCCGATGGACCGTCGTCCGATCACAGCAATTTCGAGCGAACAAGGGGGGGAGGGGGTAATTTGGGGTCGGAAGGAGCAAAAACTCAATTAACGTCCGTTGGGGGCGCCCTGCAGTAAGGTAGCCGCAAACAGAGGGTTTGTTTTCAGGCCAAAAATCGCAGTCAGAGATTTTTTTTCTTGCAATTTTTTGATGAAATATGAGTCATCCATCCTTCCTCGTGCCGTACAAGTGGTTTGGGGAAATTTTTCAAAACCTCGCTTCTCTATAGTTTCAAAATGGCGCCTTCCATCGTTTGTTGTCAAATGTTTGCGGAGTGTTTTTTTTTTCAGGGGGGCGGAACCTGGGGGGGGGGGGCAGCGTTTAAAAAGGGGTCACCAATGGCGGTTCCGCAACAAATGCGCCCAAAATCTGAATAGGGCCGATGGACCGTCGTCCAATCACAGCAATTTCGAGTGAACAAGGGGGGGGGGGGGTAATTTGGGGTCGGAAGGAGCAAAAACTCAATTAACGCCCGTTGGGGGCGCCCTGCAGTAAGGTAGCCACAAACAGAGGGTTTGTTTTCAGGCCAGAAATCGCAGTCAGAGATTTTTTTTCTTGCAATTTTTTGATGAAATATGAGTCATCCATCCTTCCTCGTGCCGTACAAGTGGTTTGGGGAAATTTTTCAAAACCTCGCTTCTCTATAGGGTGCAGACCAGTAAATTGGTCCGAAATTGCCTGCGCCGGCCAAATCACGATTTGCATGCCCTCAAAATCTTCGGTATTTGAGCATGCTGTGGGCCATGAACTTGAGGGATTGTAAAAAATATGGGTGGAAGCCGTGCACAGGACTGGGAGCTTGCAGTTCTGTGTAATTTTGATGTAATTATTTGGACCCTAAAAGCGCTCTATTTTGCAATGGAGTGTAGGCATCGTTCTTCAAAATGGCGATGGGCTTCAGGACTATTTTCAGGGGTGATCATCTTCAGATGGAAATTTCTCCTAAAAGTCATCAGTTGACCCCCCGAAAATTGAAAAGAAAATGAAAGATGATGAAATAAGCTTTAATTTGATGTGTGTCTCGAACACCTTGGAGAGTTGTTAGTATTTTTCCCGAATTTTTGAAGTGGGAGCATTTACCATTGGGGTCTATGGAAGTTTATTTACTGGTCTGCTACCAGAAGGCAAAGGTGGTGGTATTTTGGCATACATTGTATGTGGGTCTTGTACCGTGTGTCCAAGTTGTGTCCACTGACTGGCTGTGGTGCGCTAAGCTTGCCATCTTTGTATTGTGTGGACCTGAAAACAAAACAGGTCCTCACACGATGTTGGTTGTGTGAACCTTCTGTGGACTTAGCCAGGTCCACACAAGGTTTCCTGCTCTCTGAAAAATAGGTTTAGAGGCATTTTGGGGTTAGGTTTATGTGTCGCAAAATGAAGAGGAATACTCAAGGAAATCATGATACAAATATTGGGTTGAAAGAGTATTTACAGTGCGAATAAAATCCTTTTTTTCCTCCGTTTTTTCTTATTAACTCCATGAAGACAAAGGAATGTCCACACTAGATGTAAGGTACATGTAGCCTGTATGGCTGCATGGTGTTGTGCAGTGTGAATATTACACACCTTTCTAGACAAGAACGATTGGCTGTGCCACACCACCTCTCAACTTCCCAGCAACCTCGTTAACGTGAAATAATTTCTCATGGAATTTTGGAAAGTTCTCAGGGAAATATCAGGGAAATATCAGGGAATTTTGTTCTCCTAAAGTGCTCAGGGAACCCTAACTAAGCTCTACACGAATGTAAACCAACAGTGACTGTACTGTACCGTCTTCAATCTTGCAAAATCCTCCAAAGTGTCTTCATGGATTTTAAAAGATCTGGGTGGGTAAGGAATAGATGGAGAAACTTAAAACTGCACATGACATGTATGACTGCTGGAACAATTACTGCACCTTTTGCTACAAGTGCTCATTTGCACAGTGCCGAGCTCGGCCAATGCAGGGGTGAGATTTGTCAGGATTTGTCCTGATTTCCTGGGTTTTTTTGTCAGGATTTTTTTTGTGATTTCAAGATTATTTAAGAGCCCCGGAATTGAAATCTGGAATTCCTGATGTTTAACAATAAAGGCGTTTTTACCTAAATGTATGAAGTTATATAGAACAAAAGAAATTGGTATTTTAGGGGTGGCTTTACCATTGACCCAAGGTTGCTCTGGGGCCTTCTGTGACCCTCAAGCCCTCTACCGATTATTTCATGGTTTTTCCATTTTCTCACAATCTCACCCCTTCGTCAGCGAAGGGCAAAAATTAACATTCACGATTGAAATCTTCCTGATGTGAAATCCTCTCAAAAAGTCATCAAATCAAAAGTCATATATAGGCCTATTCTACAGTATGAGGAAATGAATCAGTTTACGGATCTAATGGATCTGTGGTGGGAAGGATGTGCACGAGGGCGGTTACATGTGGGAAGAGTTATCTTTCTAACACATGTATGTACATAAAAATCATGTTTAGGCAGGATATGCAACTTGAGTCTGTTTTCATTAGATGTGATGCGGAATATGAGAATGATATAGTACCGTATGTGTCATTAAATCTTTAAATGTGTAGATGTGGCACGCCAGTTATGATATTGTGTTAGTTTTTAAGTATTGGATAAGTACATAAGAGCCTTAGTCCTTTCAGTGACATTGCACTGAAAAGGTGCATGATAAGTGAAGTACCGGGTAGCAAGATTCATACAGGTAATTTTCAAAATCTTAATTACAGGCTTTCAAGTTTTCCTACTTTTCGTACTTTTTTCTAGAGTTGTTAACCTTTCTCCTACTTTTCCTACTCTTTCCTTGAAATTTCTACTTTTTCCTACTCGTTTGGGTCCCTTAAGTCCGAAAAATGAAATCTCATAAAATACTTTCTATAGTACACAAAATACAGTGAAGGGTTTGGGCGTAGGAGTACTGCAACTGTACTTTTCCAAGCGCTTAGTTGAGGATGGAGCACAAGTGGTGTGAGTACTGAACATGCCAAGTGAGGCTTATGAAACTGTGGACATGAGTGAGTATCAACAAAAACTACTCCTGAAAGCCTGCAAAAGTCCTACTTTTATCCTGATTTTGTCTAGCCGAAGTCCTACTTTTGTCCTGTTTGTCTATCCCTTCTTCACCTGGGTCTTCTTGAAAGCCTGTAATTACAATGCACTGTCATATATAGGCCTATAGGTTGGTCCCACTTCTGTATGTCAGCATTAAGAGTGTTGCCAAAAAAAAATTAAAAATGGAAGACCAATTACTTAAATGTACTTTTTGTCTGTAAATCAAAAGCTCAGGAGGAATTTCTCTTGTAGAAATTTTCTGCAGAACAGAGGCATAGCACTGCAAAGACTTTAAATCTGTGTAATATGCATTGGATTTGGAAGGGGATTTCCCTTCAAAAAAAAAAAAGCCCATTTCACCCAATGCCAAGAAATCTGCTGAGGTGCATGTAACTTGGTGTTTGTCTAAAGTGTTCCTTTTTAAATGAGAGCCTTTTGGTTCAGACAGATGGCAAACAGTTTAGGGGAATCCCCAAACATACCAACGGCCCCGGAACATATGGTACAATGCACTCTACATGTATCCACATCCTGTTTGCCTTTTTGCATCCTTTTGACTGGGTTTTCCACAATTGTTTTTTCTTTCTTCCGCATTTCATCTGAATAGTCATATACGTACATGTAAACAGGATAAAAGGAACTGGCTTGGACTTTTTATTGTTTAGGGAAAGAGGTTAATTGGACTAATGAGAGATCAGCTTTAAATACAGGGCTGGGTTAAAGATTTAACAGTTCCAAACAAAGCTTCTCACAGTAACCAAGGCATTGACTAATTACATGTAGGTGAAAGCAATTTTTAGAGTCGGGTATCATTTCCAAATCCTGTTATCATAGCAAAAACTTGTGAATTAGGCGGCATTGTTTGCAAATACTTACAATTATTTAGAGAAAGTGAAAATAGAGATTTTTTTCGCAATAGTTAAAACTCACCACTCTGTCCCCCTTAACATAAAACAAAAGATTTGAAATCCTTACACACCTGTTCAGAAAAGCTCCATGGTAGGGATTGATTGACCAGTCATGCTAGTACTTTATATACCTATGATATTTTTTAATAGAAATGATTCATAAAATGTTACCTGCCAATCACAATTAATCATCATTTTCTGTTCACTGTTCGTTCTTGTTGCCGTTGTTAATTAAAGAGTCTTGCCTTAATAGTTGTATAATTGTACAGAAGATGACATCTGCCACTCATTAGAAATGGATCTGTTTTGCAACCTTTACGCATTCACATCTTTCATGCCTTAAGGTAGAGTAGATGTATTTGCAGCTGTCCAAAAAGTAACTGCCCAAATTATTGTTAAAAGGCTTACTTGGTTTAAATATAGTAATGGCACTAAACTCCCTGGAAAGTATTTCTTCTGGCATGTTGTCATTTTGAAGAAAACAGGAAAAGAAGGTCATTGCCAAAGATGAGTCAAGAGACGCATTTATGGAAATTTCCGTTATAGTACTTGCTTTGTAATTGGGCGAATCTGTGAATGGGGTGCGCACAAGCACGCGCAGTTGGTATTATTCATTGATTCAGTGCGTGACATCGTATAGCTGCAGTCGGCTGAATGAGAAGGTGTTCTGGATGCTGATTTCGGGCGCAATTCAAAATATGACTCGGCAACTTTGGAATTGAAATTGAGATCCTAAAATATTCAATTTTCTCCGAGTAGACGGCATTCACAGAGCTAAAACTTCATCAGGTTAGTTGTTAAGCACTCATCTTTAGATTTTGAGCAGTTTTGTTGCTTCAAATGAAGCAATTGCTGTACTCTACCTTTAAAACCTCAGGCAATTAAGTGGATTCAACTTCAGGGACAATTTTTCCCCTTTTTTGTCTGATCAATAGTGCGTATGCACATCTACATTTGCAATTCTAGGATATTTGTCATGTTTGTGGTCCTGAAGGAAATGACATCATATACATACATCCACACACACAACAGGTGCATATGACCACTGTATCTGTGTCAAGGCTTTGTCACCTGCTATCATTGACCATTTCCTAGTCTTGATAAAATGATGTCATTTTTAAAACCGTGTACTTTAATATGCCTATACAGTGAACATTCTGGCCTTCACACATGTACATGCTTGTACATGTATTTGTGGCTGAATCAGTGTTGTTACAAATTGTCACAGTTTTCACAAAGAGACAATTTCCCTATTCCCTCAGTACACTTAATTTGTCTCTTCGTGAAACTTTGACGAAATGTATGTGAACTTTAGATAGAATTCCAAAAGTACATGTACCATCTTAATATTTGTACCTTTATGTACAATGTACGGTAGAGCTGCAGAAACACTGCCATAATTTATCCATGCTTGATATTTTAGAGGCATATATTAGGATCATTTGCATTTATCCCATAACTAACCTACCGGTACCAAAATATTAATAATAAGGGTTTTCTGCATGTCGGATGGAATCTTTCATTCATGTGTAAGCTGTATTTATAGTATGTAAATGAGCAAAGTGCAACAGTCACATGGGAAAATAAAATCCATGCAGTGAGAGCTAAAAGAAATCAAGGCCAGTTCGTATACTTCATGTGAATGCGAAATGAATTTGACGTCACGAAACATTCACTGAGAAAATTTGCCGGAGTTGAAAGGCCTTCAACCTTTGCGAATTTGCAGCACGAAGACTCGCCGTGCCGTCACAAATTCGCAATTGCGTCCGCTTTGGCGCTGAGTATGAACTGACCTTTAGTCAGTGGTCACCAGTAATTACCAGTGATTGGTATGAGCCAAATCAATGATTATAATGTTGAAATTTGATTTCCAGAGGAATATGCGGACGTGGACGTGCCAACCAGTCTGTCGGCCGACAAGATTCAGGAGGAAAGGGAAGATGAATGCGATGACATCTATGAAGACACGGTGCCGGAGTCCACCCACAGCAACGACTCGTCTCAGAACTCCGACGACCAGGATGATGGGGAGGAGCAAGAAGATAGGAGTGGGATGTTTGACCTGGACGGAGATCCTTATGGTAAGAGCTGTGACTGAATTACTTGGCTATACAGCTTGCGATCACACATGGACCTATGGAAGCAGTTGTAGCCACTTCCCATAGACACGTGTGTTACTGCGGGTCATGGCTAAATAATGCAGACGCGGACCAACTTTTGTTTGAAATCAGTTGGTTGTGTACTCAGTCATCTGCGACTCCCGAATGGTACACACAAATAGGATGGAAAGTTGATTAAAGCCAGTCACTTAAAAATAAAATATGCCTAAATTGTTTGAATTCTAAAGCGAATTGTTAAACAATCTGTGTGTATAGTGTACTCACTGTGTGTGAGTATGGCACAAAACAGTTGTTTGATTGTAGAGCCGTACCTTGACGTCAAGAAAATGGGCTTACAGCAGATGCTCCCAACAACTTTAATGTTTTGCTCCTGGATAGAGGGTGCAAAGCAGCTTTTTAATTTTTGTTTTTAAAGCCAAAACTCTCCTTTATTAGTTTTCAATGTTATAAATTGTTTCAAATATATAATCTTCAAAGTCAGTCTATGTTTGCCACATTAAAAGTGACTGATCTTTAACCAACCTTTAACATTGTACTGACACAAACACACTGATGTTTTGAAGTTAATTAGTCATCAAACCAGATCATTACATGCTTCCTTTAATTATCATTTTTTTAATACCCTGTCCCAGTCCTTCTGATTTGAGGCGTGCAATCACACCCCCACACCATCCCACACCTAAAAGCTTCCCAAGAAGTGTGAATAATTGCAGGCCTGAATTTCCCTGGACCACAGATCACACACCTAGAAAACTACACACCTAGGAAAAAACACACACGTAGAAAAATCCAGGTGTGCCTTTTTCCACACGCCTGTGATTTTCAAATCAGAAGGACTGCTGTCCATTGGTGTTCTAGAAGACCTTGACAACCTCATAGAACGGGGTAAAGCATCAAATTTTTCATATATCCGATGTTCCTTTTTCAAATCAGGCTGCTAACTGAACATGCACATACATGACATAAACACGTACATGTATGCAGTCATACACGTACGGATCTTCTTTCCCTGTTTTGCACAACTGTTATTGTTACTGGTTCGAATCCCACTAGAAACGCAAATCACATTGCTGAGACATTACAGCTACATGCTCTTTCTCTGCTGTTATTGGTTCCAATCCATCCAGGGGCCCATCGGAATCAGGCCATCGGTACTCACTTGAATAATGAGCACCCTGGGAATTTTTGTCCTTACAACTTAAATTGGTATTTCCTTCCTCAACTGCTTAGGTTTAGGTCCAATATACACTGACTGATCATACATGTACATATTTTCTACCCAAAATCTTTGTAAAATAAAAAACCCAAATACTTTTGGGAAAATATTTTCTTTTTTTTCAGGAAGAAATGAATGATGATGCAAGTATATACATGCATGCATTAATTTTTAGATTATTCAGTTTTTAAAAAAAATTCTATTTATTAATTTGCATTTTTTTTTTTTGATTTATTTTTATTATTATTATTATTATTATTTTTTTAACTATTAGGTGATGTGAAGGTGGACCCAATTGCAGCGTCCGACTTAACTGCTTCAAGCAAAGAAGGTTATATGGATAAGAAACGGAAGGGTAAATATTCATGTTTTGGTTTTGTTTTTCATCCTTGGATCTGAAGGGGCATATATATATTACATCTTGACCACTTATCTCTAATTCTTTGCGGGCTGGAGGCAAATAGACTGATCCATTATTTGCTTTTCATGCCTTTTGTTCGTTTCCAGTAATAACACCACTCAAAATCCAAAGAAGAATGTTAAAAAACTAACCTGTTGAAGTTTCAGCTCAGTGGATGTGCGCTTTCGAGAAAACAGTGAAAAACCATGCACAACGTTTCAAGAAAACAGTGAAAAACTATGCACAACGTTTTAAATCACAAAACATGATTTTGTCCATCTTGTCTTTCCAAAAATCAGTCAATTGACTAATCGTTGGAAGTCAGGTACATTTTTTTTATTCCTTCTAAATGACAGCAATTAGCCAGACAGAATAATTTCACGGGGTGTTTACATGTAGTTCTGGTACAATCTTTAACCCAAGTAAGCATTTTGATAATAATTTGGTAGGTTACTTTTGGGATATATGCAAATGATCCTATATATGCCTTTAAAGTTTAAGCCCCGCCCAATGATGTTTTGACCAATCACAGTTTTGATCAGTGTCCAAAAAGTCTGGAACATGCATTGTGGCATTGGAGAGGCACACATGTCGGTGACCCAGGTGTGCAGTGGGCGGGGCCTAATGGATTGGTCTATTGTATGGAGAGGGGTTGCAGTGTGGATGTGACATTTTCCTCAAATGTTTGTATAATGTGTAGAACATCACAGCTTCCCCACTTCCACTCTGTCTAAGTACCACAGTGTAAGTCCCTTCCAATAATCAGCATAAATGGATATTCATCGACATGTACATAATGGTCTCCTTTTTAGACCCCACCCCAATGAGGAAAACTGAAAAAGAATAATTGATTTTTATCAGTACTTGTATTCTACATGTATATCAAATTTCCTTGCGCACCAGATTTAAAGTGACAGCTATTCAACATGTATGTTGTATTTGTCTAATCAAAACGTAAAGGTCATGCACTTGGTAATTTTTGCATAAAAAGAAGGAAAGAAAGAAAACCTTCACAGATTTAAGGTGACAACTTCGACCTATAATGTTTTGCCTTACTGAGTTGAGGGAATTCTTGATGGCCTAAATTGTAAAGGTCAGTTTAGCCGTTGGGGATCAATGGAAGTCACATTGACCCAGCGCTGACCCTCAAGTGTATAAAGAACAACTCTGGACTGCACACTTGTTCAGACGTCATTGTGGCGGTAAACTATTCAGAAAGCTTCCGGTCGGGGATAAATTTATACTTTCAAAGGGCCTTGGGGCATATGGGTTGTGTTTAATTCGGGCAATCTAGAGTTTCTGGCATGATGTGCTAATCCCGGTTTAGCTATACTAGGTGACAAGGAATCATCACTTTTATTTTTTTTATAATTTTTTTTTACACAGCATCTAACAAAGAAAAATGCAAATAAAGGGAGATTTTGATAAAAATATATAGATCGAGTTTACTTGTCCTACACACAGAAATTCCATCATATAAAACAGAGATTGATTGTGGTAACCACTGCTTTTAAAGATGTGGCCAGCCAACCCTGACATGCTCAGTGGTTGAAGGGTGAGACATCTGCACTTGTAAGCAGGAGCTCATGGGTTCAAGTCCCACTATAGTAAGGTTGTACATTTTTTTCTGGCTAACTCGAGAAACACTGATTATTCAGTTTTTTTAATGAAATAATGTATGTGAAGCCTTCTGATTTCAAGATTTTGGGTCAGGATTTATCCTAAATTTCAGGATTTTTAAAGAATCCCTGTTGGAATCTGGAATCCCTGAGGTTTTACCGTAAACCTATTTTTACTTAAAAGTTTCAATCTTTAGAATAAAAGAAGTACGGTATTTTAAGGGATTCCTTCAGACAAACACAGACGTACACCATATAGGCTCCAGAAATCGTGATCCCCAACTTTTGTTTGCCTCTTTGCAGAAGGGCAGTTTGGTCTGCAGGCCTGGCAGAAACGCTACTGCGTCATCAAGGGCAACATCCTGTACTACTACAAGAAGAAAACTGACAAGGAGCAGTGCAATCAGATTGTGCTGACGGGCTACCAGGGACGCGAGGCGCCAGACTTTGAGAAGAAGAACAAGAGGAAGGATTTGCTGTTTGAGGTGGTGTGTCCGGCCAAGCGCTCGTATCAGGTAGGACTGGGATGCATTCTGCTCACGCGACCATTTTACATTTGTTAAGTAGATCCTGTAAAAGGACCTAACCCAAAAAGAAATGATAATATCATCAAAAAATGTTGTCAAAATGCCCTGTATACCAATCTTACAAATGTCTCTATTTGGATAGCAGCTTTTAAAATCCTTGAAAAATGTGTAACTGGAAGTTATTTTTTTTTTCTAGTGAAATATGAACTAATTCATTTGGGCTGTTCAAAACGGAAAATTTCAGCAGCGACACAATCATTGCTGCCATTTGGGAAAACAGGGGACGACCTCTGTAGCCTTCGTTGCTAACGTTCACCACAGTTGGTGGCAAACAGTAGGTCCCACTTGCACTGCAGTTGCCAACACTGGCAAACGTTAGCATTGTGCGCGTGGAAAAGTGGAACACACCCCTGATCACAGGAAAGGAGTTGGTTCACTCGAAAGGAGGGCAGCTTGAAAAGTTACCTCAAATTACAATATGGCAGCCATGAGGCATTTTTCAGTCACGTTTAAAAAAATGTATTAACTTGTATCAAAAACAATTCAAACTTTCCACTATTTTGGACATCTGCAACACTCTGAAAAAGAAGCTTTTATATCATTCTTTATTGGGTCCACCCTGCAAGTAATAATAATAATTTAAACTTAAAGCAAATTATTAAATTATTATTATTACTGCAAAGTAGACTGATTCCCGGTCCCTGCATTGCTGACTCTGAATGGGAGGTGCTGAGGTGGGAACCAGTCTACTGTGTGAGAACTGAGTTCTTGTTGGGTCGGAAATAAATACAAATTTAGTTGTATTATTCCATAAATAAACACGAACCTGTTCACAAATTTGGACAAACTGAAGAAGGATTCGTGGCATTATAAGAGCCCTTTATAAAAAAAATGCTCCAAATAAAAAAAGTACATCAAATTCTTCATTTTTTCTGTGCGTAAGTACCCCCTCAACAGCAACAAATAGTCTGTGCCAAATGCCCGTGAAACAGGGTCTCCCGCACACAATACGCTTGTGAATTGTAACAAGGTGTTGATTGCTGATTGTGCACAGAATCCATGTTTCACACATCCTTGTCGTCTTTTCTACTTTTTGTCTGCAGTTCATCGCTCAGAACAAGAAAGATTTGCAGGAATGGATCAAGGTCATTGCTGTCGCCAGCAAACTGGGACCAAGTCTAGTAGGTAGGTATTATAAAGGCTGAGCAGTTTAGCAGTTGTCGGTTTCCCAAAATAAACGATGATGTAAAACCACAACCAGTGACACCTGTCAAGTAATTTAATTTTAGGTCAGTTTTGATGGTCAAGTCTAATGGAGGGGAGGCAGACACTAATCTGGGCATGATTGAACCCACCTGTGGGACACAGCATTTATATCGGTGAAAAATATAGAATTGAATGCTTTTCATATGGATTAATCACAGAGGCGGCTGTTAACTCTTTGCTTGCATTGAGTCAAAATGTTGGCTTAAGATGGTGCCTGGTAGGAGGGTTCCCACAGTCATGGAAAAAATCCTGGAATGTCATGGAAAAGTAATGGTGGAGTCATGGAAAAGTCGTGGAATCCCGTACAACCCATTTGGATGATGCGTAGTATTGAACCTTGGCAGTCTTCCAGTTTTCTATATACATGAACTTCTTTTTTATGCATATATGCTCTATACTGGTTGCTTGTGCATATGTGGTGCATATAGAGGTATTGTGTAAAACTGGAAGGCTGAAAAGGTGTAGCGTACCTTGTCTCCAGAGCAATAGGCTCCTAAGATGTCAAAACAGAGTAGGCATTGGTCATGAAAAGCCCTAATTTGTTATGGAAAAGCCATGGAAAAGTCTTGGAATTTCAGGATTTCTCTGGGCACCCTGTCATAGAGAAGCTGTGCCCATAAATTGGCTTTAACATCAAAGCTCATTATTTTATTCCCATCTTATTACTGCAACTAATGCCATACTCAAAGAGTTAACAAGGTGAATAAATATGTTTGTGTGCCTTCCAGCACACTTTATCTGTTTCCTATAAACTGAGCTATCTACCTTTCATTTGTGTTTGATTGGCAAAAAACTGTGAGTGCATCTTCTTTAATTATTCAAATATGGTAATGCAGACATGATGTTCTTTATCTTGTAGATCCTCTTGCCAAATCGACCCCCAACAATTCAGGAGGCAGCGAGGATCTCTCGGAAGAATTGTACGATGACACGTCAGCCCCTGCCCCATCGTCCGAAGCCAATGATGACGATTACGGTGACACATATGAGGACCTGGATGCCTACCAAGCAACCAAGATAGGTGAGCAACCAGGGGCAACTGAGACGCCTGCAGTTGCCTTGTTTACGGGCGACAATGAGGAAGACGGGGAGCCAATAGAGGAGGAGATTTACGAAGACGTACCGAATGCCAATGAGCCGCCACCAGCACCGTTGCCTGAACGCATTCCAAAGCCCTCGGCTGCTAATAAGCCCTTACCACCAGACCCCCCGAGGTCTGGCTCCCCGCCCCCCGTGCCAACCACCCACCGACCGATGCCTGCTGCACCCGACACGCAAACAGCAAAGCCGTACTCGCCACATACGCAAATCAAGAGCTACCAGGGCAAGAACGTCAAGAACATCAAGACGGGATCCAGCCCAGCTCATGCCAAACCGGCAATCACTTCCACCCCGGGGCCCCCTATCCCCTCTCGTTCGGCGCCTGAGATGATCACAGCCCTGCCCAGGAAGGAACCGTGGGAAGAAGACTATGCCAACATTTACATCGGATTGTGGGACTGCATGGCTGACGACCAAGACGAACTGGAGTTCCGACGAGGCGAGATGGTCCACATCATCAGCAAAGAGTACGACCCTTTCAGCTGGTGGATCGGTGAGAAGAACAATAAAGTGGGTCTGGTGCCCAAGGACTACCTGATGAAAGCTTATATGATTTAGTCAGTAAACCCATGACAACAAATGTATGCATTATAGTGCTAAATGCCTTTGTCTTTTCATTTGCTAATTAAAAAGCATCCAATATAAAACAACATATTTTATCCACTTTGGGCTTTCGAATTATCGTTTACTTGAAGGTACAGTTACCATTCCATCAGTTTTGTTCACAGTGTTGGATTTGGATTGGTATAGAAGAAAACTTTCTTTCAGCAAACAGAGGAAGTTGGCTAATAGAGTTCAATTGAAATGCAAATTTCTGGGTTCCGTTTTGTACATTTTCCATTACGCTTTAACTGTTTTGAGCAAATCGAAAAGTTGTTAAAATGTATCTTATTTTTGGGCCCACATTTGTATATCTATTTAAATGTATATACTAATCATGTTAAGGCTGCAGGCATTTCCAGCCATATATTTACAACTAAAATCTGTTAACTGGTCTATTACAAAATTATACCTAGTGAAATGATAAGAATAATATAGTTTTCTATCAAAAGTCTATGCAAAGGCTTAAATTTTAATTATTTTTCACTTATTTCCCTAAAATATGAATGTAGTAATGCAACAGTCACCGAAAAAATGCATTAGTCATAGAGAAAAAAAAATGCAATTTAATAGGTAAATACTTCCATCAACATGTACTAAGAAAAGGAACTTGCACCTAGCTGTGTTGACATACCCGAAGCTTTGAAGTTCATTTTTATATAACTCAGCTCGTAGATGATTTAGCGACATAGTTTGTGTACATATCTTTCAAGATAACCTAATCAAGTGGAATGGAACTACATGTACATGTACATGTACAATGTACATGTACATTGTATATGTATGTAAGATTTGGGAATGCTTCGGCAATTTTGTACATTTTTTGCAAGGGAAATCAACATTTTATTTCAGAAAGAAAAAAGCTTTGAAAGAGGAATTCTGTTGCGTACCCAGGCTGGCCAGGTTTGGGGGTAATTTTCTCTCCCCCTTTTCTTGGTTTTATAAATTTTTTAATTTTCCTAAATTTTTTATTATTATTATTATTTTTGTGTTATCATTAAATATCAGTATGACATATTTGTGAATTGCAGTACACTGTATACAGATATTCTAAGCTTCATGTACAAGTAGCTGGTATCTACAATAATAAAAACATAATTTTGGTGTCCATCCTTCATGTCCTTTCAGCAACTTTTTCTCAAAATTACAATTTAAGTTACATCAAAGCAACTTACCAAGGGCAAAAGTAAGAGTTTTTATTTTAATTTAACGTTCATATTACTCCGAGATGAAATTTAATGCAGGAAATTTAAAGGTATATATATTTTTGTGGTATAATTGAACGATAACAGGTACATGCTCATGAATTGCAATATCCGATCTCTACTTTTTGAAAGTTGTCTGCACTATGCAGAACTGCATACCGGTAACTATTGCATGAAGTGGCTTACCCTGATTTATCTAGGGGAAGGGGAGGCATTTACTTCGAACCCTAAATTGTTCTCATTGCACTTTTGCAGAACTTTGTTCTCGTCCCTTCCCCCGTTTTGTGGCGTCATACTTAAACCCCAAACAAGTGAGATGGGGTGGGGGATACACCCCCCCCATTAAAAAAAGAGTTATTTAAGGTCAATCTACACATACATAAAGTAGTCATGTCAATTTAAAAAAAAGTCTTTGAATTTTGTTTCCAGTCCCATGTATTTTGTTGGTTTTCTCACTTAATTGTAACGATCGAGTGAAAATGTTGAACTGAAATCACCCAAGTCTACAAACATTTATGCTGGCTTCTTTAGTGGAACAAATACGAGTTACTTTTGTATTGGGTGAAATGGTTCAAAATATCAAAACATACATTGCAGATGCTTATGAATTTAAAACTGAGCGAGTAAGTGATGTAAAAATGAGCAATAAAAACACATATTGTTGATTGACAATACGTTTCTGAAGCTTTTGGGTTTTATTTGAACAATTTTTTGTTAGCCTGTCCTAAGTCAACCGCAGATAACGGACACTCCACTTTTTTGGGAATGGGTCAAAGTAAATAAGTTGCAAGAAACTAAGGCTAGATTTCTTTGTCTTAAATGGCTGTATTTCTCCAAGACTGTATTTTGCTCAGAGGAAGTTGGTATGGGCATCACAACATATTTTTTTTTGTCACTCGTTGCCAAGCTTTCTCATAAAACCAGGTAACATTTGTGATTGTTTTTTGCCAAATCAGAACTGGCCAGAGGTAACTTTTTGTCACACTTTTCAAAATAAGCCATTTTTAATGTTATACTCTCATCTGCAACTTGGAAAACTGCAAGGGAAAAAAGTTGAGGGAAAAATTCAACAAGTCTTAGTTATGGGCTCCACGCACAAGTACTCCTTCAACGTCCAGAAAAGGAGAGTTGGGGAGACCTAGACTGAATCCCTGTCCATCCACTGCATATTTCGAATGATCAAAAGTTATTGGGGGCGGGGATAAGTCTGGTAGACAATTGCAAGTTCAATTTGAACGTATTCGCGCGCCGACAAGGCCCGACACTCGTGCAAAGACGCCGTGGCTAATAGCTTTGACACATTCAGGAAGTCATGCGTACTTCGTGCGCGAACCAGTACAGTACAGTATGCACACGCTGTGTGTCCCGTCCACGGGCTCTCAAAAGTGGTAAAAACGCGCCCTCTTTTGTTTAGGCACGGAGCCCATACCAGTGGAGTAGATATTGGGGTACGCAGCTGCCCCCCCCCCCCCCCCCCTCCGAAAAAATAAGAAAATAATAATAAAATCTTTCCGACCCTGTGGAGTGTGGATCTGGGCCAGAATTCGGGCGATTCACAATGCAGTGCGCCACCAAGAGTTTGCCATGGAGAGTTCATTTTTCCCAGTGCATTGTGGGAGATGGTCGACAAATTCGCAGCGAGGGACATTTGAAATTGCTTGTTTTTTCGGTTAGTAGTTGCGTAAGCGTATGATTCGAGTATCTGTTTGCCCTTTTCTTTTCTTTTTATCAATATGGTGTTTTTTGTAAGGCGGCAGAACGCTTTGCCCCAGTCTATAACAAATAAGCTCAAGTTGTTTACTGACACTCATTCAAATGGGCCATGTTTTGTCGACCGTAAACTTGAAAAATGGACTCGCCATGGCAAACTCTTGGTGGCGCACTGCATTGTGAATCGCCCGAATTGTCAAGATTTTTCCTCATTTCTGTATTTTTTGTGACCTTTTTTGTTCTAGGATTTTTAACCAGTTCGCGCCGGAGGCCGTGTATACATGCAAATGTTTTGCAGTATTCGGAATGGGATTAACACGCAACGAGCATGGCCAGAAATATCTGTGAGCGACCCGCTTGCAGCGAGCGAGGCTGGAAATACGAGTGTGCTGCTGGAGGGTGATGGCTTCAACCCACCTGGCTTGAGGTTGAGTAAAAAGTAATCCCGCGCCTCGTTTCATTCTTGTCAAAATAATCCCAGCATGAACTGGTTAAAGAACCCTTTTCAAATCTGAAATTACAGAGGTTTTACCGTTAAGGTGTTTTTACCTATAAAAGCATGGAACAAAAGAAATTGGTATTGTAAGGGCTGCCTTTGGGCAAATGCAAACATATGGAGTACCAAAGTGAATACCGAAGTGAACCAACAAGTGCGCGTACTCCATTCGTTTGCACTACACTTTCTGGTTCTAAATGACGTCACACTTCGGTACTCCATAACCCATGGACCCTACATTGCTATGGAACCCTTGGCGACCCAATCTCAGCCCTGTTGAATTCAATTTTGATGGAATGAACTGAAAACCACACCAAGAATAAAATGACACTCTAAAGCAATCACAACATTTGTACATACAAATACACATACAAAATGCTTTTATTGTAACTAAAATAGTGCCCGGTTTGGCAATGGATAAAAATTCAAATTTCTTTTATGTTTTTAACAATGTTTTATTTTAAATTAGGAAATGTTGTAATTATTCTCAGACAGTAATCCTTTGTACATGTACCTTAACCTCAACACAAGTAAATGGCATTTCACAGAGAAAGTAATGAATGTTTTTGAAAGGTTGCCTGTCCCCCCAAATTAAAACATTGATATGTTCAATTCATAGTTTCAGTGAACATGCAATCATGGTCCAATGGTATGTGTACCTAAGACTTGGTTCCAGACATCAAGAGATCTTTTTTCCCCCACATATACCAACTGCTGCAAGCAGAACGTTTGCAATGTTCGGCACATCCAAGGAGTAAAAATACAAGTGTGTCTGGAAATAAGACTACCGGTACATGTACTCATCCAAATTTGGGCCTAACTTTATTTTGCCACTATCAAAGACGCAAGTTCAGATCTACTTACATGTAATAATATCAAACCAAAAGTGAATTACATGCCAGAAATTTGAAAAAAAAAAACTGTTGAAAAGACACATAATGAAACCCCAGCAAGCATCCCGAATGTGTGGCTAGCAAGAAAATTTCCACTGAAAAAAAAAAGGAAAAAGAAAAGAAGAAAAAACAGAAGAGAGATACGGGCATCAAATACAAATCTTGGACAAGGATCATGCAATCTCAGTAACAAGCTCAATAACTGTCAAGGTTTAAAGCCAGTCTGGTTTCTCCATTAAGCATGTTAAGCAATGTGCATGTACACAAATTGTACATACATTAGGTAATCTAACAAAAAATTGATAGTGTTAAGAGGCTTCTTGTTATAATAATAAAAAACAACAATGTGAATGTCTGCAATTTACTTTTCAGCCCGATTGTTTTGAAGGCAACCACTTTTTAAGTCTGGATACTTTAACTGTCCCAACCGTGTTTGCAAACAAAAGATCACATTATATGGTCGCCAGTAAGTATAAAAACATATCAGGCTTGTGCAGACACGTGCTGAAACTGGGTAGAAATGGTTGAATGCTATGTCTTATGGTTAAGCAGTTATGATGTCCGAGGGCACACGAAACAGTCCTTGTCATATGCCATTTCAAATGCTACATGCTGGAACCCACTTTTTGTGTGTGGATATTCGTGGAACTTACTTTGTGACAGAGATTTACACAAAGTTCATTACCTCACTGTACCTGTTGTGTTTGTTGTATTTGTGAATGCACAGTGTACATACACATGCAGAAACTTGTTGTCATTGAATGTCATCTGACAGTCAGTCACACTATATGAATTACTTGCAAGATTAAAGTTATTTTTTCTCTTTAAACTAAGTTAACTACATGCAGATGCCTAGTATCTACTGAACCTCAAAGCAACTGGCAAATCAAAACTGGACAAAAAATATCAGTTTCGATATGGATAATTAATTTATACAAAGCGATAAAAACAACAGCTTTAATTAAGTTTTTAACGGACAGGACAATAATATTCATTTTAAAATTGTCTCTTGTCGAAAAGAATACAGCCAACCATTGCTGTGTGCCACTGGCAAAAGGACTGTCCAAAATGGCCGGAAATTATAAAACAATTAGAAACATTTAGGGCATTCAAAATGTCCGAAAATAAAAGGACTTCCTGAAATTCAATTAGTAAATGATGCACCTCTGTAATTACACCCAAAATGGACATGCTCCCATCCCATCGACACAATGACAAATGTTTTTTCCAGACAAAGTTTAAATTTCTGTTTGTCATATTTATACTAACCTGCAGTATCCTTTAACAAAGTTGCATTATTTCATCGACTTGGAACTGGTTTATGAGGAAACAGTTTTCAACTCTCAAAACCAGGTTAGCCAAAATGTAATTATTAAAAATTTCAAAACCGATTTTTAACCATGAGAACTGATCTGGGTATTAGTTTTAATTTTTTTTGAATGGTTTGGTTCAGAACTACCTGGTTTTTTAAGAAGCATAAACGTAAGGCAAATGGAAGGAGGTGAGACTTGCCTCTTTAAGCAGGTGGGGGGGGGGGGGAAAATGGGGGGGGGGGGGAAATGGGGGGGGGGATGATTAGAAGGTGAGGGGCGGGGCTTGGCAGGTGGGGGGGGGGGGTGTTTCAAGACCAACCTAGAGTTAAGAGGGCGGACAAACATCGACAACAATAGTCCTAACATGTTTATGTACAGTATATTTACAAATGCTGTCGCAATTCTAGATTTTTTTTATACACTCGCAGAAAAAGGGGACTTATTTGAGGTCTTCCGACAGGTATCTTCATGAGATCGTCTCACTCAGAAACACCTACATGAATTCTGAATTAATCACACTGAAAAACAAAAAAACAAACCAAAATCTACATGAACATGCACGGAGACAAAAAAAGGAATAACATACAGTGATGTCTATTGTTTTAAAAATGCTAACACAAACAGTTCAAAAAAAAATAGTACATAAATGACGTAAAAACACATTCTTCCATGATTTACATGTGGTTGTTTCCGACATTATTGTTCAATACTTTCCTTTGCGATTCACCGACTCGCTCTTTCGTTTTACCTACACCAGAAGTTTCAGACAATTTCTTAGTTTTCAATATTTCGTGTCTCTCAGAATTACCCACAGAGGGCTGAAGTGGACAGTGTAATCTACTAAAAAAATTTCTTTTACGAAAGCACTTCCCTTTTTAACGCTTCGCTTATTAACACGAAGTAACATGAAGATAAGTTGAACTTTTTGACTTGAACGTTGTTTTTTTTGTTCCAGAATCAAACATTCAAACCTCACTCCAAACTGTAGATGGAAAAATGTTCACCCTCATACACACCGTCTTAATACGGTAAAAACTTCCGTAAAGAAGAAATATCTTCTGTGCACATGCATCTATGAGCCCAGTTTTCATTACCCTTGGATGTTTTTTCTCTTTCTTTTGGTCGAAAACAAACTCTAGAGAAAATTTTTGGAATACAGGTGTTTTTCAAAAACATTTGAAGTGTCATGGGGAAATGACGGGGCAGGGCGGGGTAGGGAAGAGGGAGGGAGGGGTGGACTCACAATGACTTTTCGGATTTATGCTCGCGATTTGGTTCCTGTTGACTAGATTTTTGCTCAAGCTTTTGTTCCAGTTGACAGGTTCCTCCGTCGTCATCTTTGTTTTCCGTGTGCCAGGTCAGTCTCTCCTCGTAGAATGAGATGACAACCTGAGGGCATTTGACGTTGGCTTCCTTGGCTCGGACTAGGTCGGCTCGATCGCTGGATTTCCTGAAGACAACGGACAAAAAGAATCAATGACCCATCTAAATCTGGTGTATTTTAAAGTTGTGTCCTCCATGCTTTTTTCGAGTTTCGTCCCAAAGATTAGTTTCCAAGCAAACAAGATTTTACTGCAATTTTTTAGTCTCTTTATTCCGCCATGTGTTTTTCCCTAAAAACGTTTTTTAATTAAAAACGATGTAAAACTATTTGCTTTTTAATAAGCCAGTTCGGTATTTCAAAAGCACATGTGCACAATGATATGGGTCACATGTCATTCGGGATAATCAAAAGTTTTGAAGGCGCATGAATGCGGGCGCACGACGCTTGCGTGTAAATTACCAGCAGATGGGCGTGAGCGTAATATCGTATAACATCACGTCAGCGATGTTATCCCGAATGACCTTGGGTCACTGAAATACCGAACTGGATTATTCCCCCCCCCCCCCCCCCCCGAACTTCAAATCCCACAAACTTTGAAGAATTAAAACCAATTAAAACCACCCATGTGACAGGCTCTTGACAAATACAGGAACTGGTAAACTGTCTCAGGTATTTATGAATTTACAATTTCAAATTATTGGCTGCCAGACAATAATTTTATTCTCGTGGGGTAGGCTGGTTCCTACCCCACAATCAATATAGATAATGTACGGACCGGGAGCCAGAGAAAAGTAAACACTGGCCTTCTACAGTTCCACCAATCAGAGCAGATCATGTGTTCCTCACTAGCATTAACACTGCCATTTTTTTTGCCTTACCATTTCATTAAGAAAATAAGATCTCCGTCTTTCTCTGTGGCTCCAAGGATCTTTTCCGGGTCCAGTTTTCTCTCAAATCCCTCCGGCTCGGTCGGAGTCTGCATACTCTTTGGTGCACGATTAACATCTGTCGCCATCCTGACCATCCTAGTGCTACCACCGATTTCATTGGATTTGGCTGATATCTGGGAGATGAAATGGTAGGTAAAAAAAAACCCACAAAACATGAAACGGCAGAATGGAGGAGGCCGTGTTTGGAAAGGTGAAGGCCACTTTGTGAACACACACTGGTCACAATAGTTGATGTCAAGTGCCACAATTACTGTCAACTTGTTGTCAACTCACTGTCAGCTCCTTTAGAACACACTAAAGAAAGCGGCACAGCACCACAATAACGAGCCAAAATAGACTGGCTGCCAAATGAGATTTGTGACCTGATTGATCTTGCTACACTGAGCAGGCTTGTCATTTTGACAAGTGGCAGTTGACGGTAGTTAGTACGACCCTCACTAAAAAGCTCCATTGTGTAGGGCTTGCCATGTTAGTGCATACATGTAACGCAAGACGTGGGTGCAACATTTTTTTATTTGGACTTGTATTTACCCGTGGCTTGGGCGCATGACAATCAAGTGTCTGTCATGCATACGCAGTACTGCTCTCTTTGAAACTGTTGAGATGGAATGTAGGGAGACCACACATGCCATAGAAAATGTAGCAAGTGTGCTCACTGTCTCACAAAAATTATCTAAGAGAGACAAGGCTTGCACGGCTAAATTGCTGTTTGGCAGTCAAGGTTCTTGTGATGCATCACAAGTCCATCTCAAGTCTATCACAAGTCATCCAGACCCAAGTCTACTCACAAGCTCAATGGACTCTGATAAAGCATCCATTTGTTTTTGCTTACTTATCCTACTTGTGACCGAACATGAGAATTGCTTGCGATTGAGTTTGAGCGGACTTGTGATCCATTATTTACTCGAGTCATGGCTGATACGCGAACCATAGAGACAGCCAAGTCTGTGCTGTAGTTGAGTCCATCACAAGTTAACTCTGGCAGAAAATAAATCACGAGTTCTTGCTTAAGTCCAGTCACAAGTGATTCATGAGCAATGCAAAGGAATGCTTTCGCCGCAGTTCATTTGAATAGCTGGCGACTTGACTTGAGACTGTAGTTCTTGTGATGGACTTACGATGGACTCAACTTTAACTGTGAGCTCAGTCACACCGCGCATGAAATGTACATGTACACCGTTTATAGAATAAACACATACCGGCGTTTCATGAGAACAACTTATACGCTGACCCTAGAGCATGGCAGAGTTGGTATTTTGTAATCGAAATCAACTGAAAACCACAAATATAGGCTTCGTCCCATTCACTATGAATGCAGCCTATAATCAAGACATAGCACTAACCTCTACAACTTTCTTTGGCTTTTTCTTGGCCGAGTCACCATCCCCTCCGTTCACTGTGAGTTTCCGTTTACTTTGCGTGAGTTGCTTCACCGAGTCATTGTACATCTGGATGAGCTCAGGACAGTCCAGATTTGTCTCCGGTTCCCACGTGTTTTGCTCGCTGCAAAAGATACCAAAGTTTGTTTTAGGACAACGAATGTGTTGAGAACGGAAGATATCCGAGAACTTTCCATTCTCTGTTTTATTGGAGAGTTGTTAAAATAATTGTTGCCAGGAATGTAACTGAGAACCCTTTACTCTGACGGTGCTCTCAGCAAAAGTGCCATCACTGCATTGATGAAGATTTCATTTTTAAAATTTCAACATCTTTACCAAAGATGTGAGAAACTCTACTTTTTAATAGGGAAAATACACAGTAGCAGCCAATTTCTGTTTAACATTTCCCTGATAAGAAGGGTGCGCAATAAAGTGTGTTGGACCTTCTCTTGCTGTTGGAGTTTGATTTACTAAGCAGAAATAATACCTAAACACAGATTATTTTTTTTAAAGGGCCAGCTGATCAAGAAGCTGCATTAATGTTGACTTGAGTTTGATTCTAATCATGAGATGAATTGACAAAATCCTCACATTTTCCCACAATTCTCAAATTGTTATTGTGGTATCAATGCAATCAAACTCACTAATTTGCAATCCCGTCCACTTAAAAGACTAGTGTGCACAGACCATGCTTACTCCTGCAGCAGAATTTGCTCGCAGGATTGAGGTTACATGGCAAAGTGTGCGGCTGGTTTTTGGAGGATGCACTGTGTCAAGGTCTTGGGCCGGACCTTGTGTTGTTTATGCTCAGTCGTGCACAGATTTAGGCCTACATTATACTTGAAATCCCCCGCACTGCTCCAGGATGTCACTGGCTCTGCCTCAACATATTGACATGATAGACAGTGATTGCCAGAGGAATTTGCAGGACTGAGGCAGTGGTCACCCCTCCAAGGACCTTATTCAAGAAATAATGGATGATTTTGGAGAATAACTTTATGCAATCTGTACATGGAGGCAGTTGGAGGATTTCACAGGATTGAGGTTGCATCCTAGCAAAAATGCCTAGGGAGTTAGGGTCAAGACAATGACACGACAGTAATTCGCCATCAATGCCTAAAGTTTAGCATAATTTTGCTGCTATAACTAACACATCTTTTCTGCTTTTAAGTACTGCCATGAATTTGGGCCCCTGAAGACAGAGTTGACTTTACAGTAGGTCATTACAAGCTAATTTGCATTTGAATGAATTAACATATCGCAGTTTTCCACTCATATGCAAATGTTCACAGTGATCAAGTGGACTCTGACATTTTTGCCTGAAATTTGAGGTGTAACAGAAAAGTTTACACACAAGTGTGGTGCCATTGTTCTTTACCATTTGAAAAAAAAACACCTAAAATCAGGCAAATGCAGAAGGACTTGCATCCCTGTGTTCACTACTGCCTGATATGCCGCATTTTGTGTCCACTGTATTTTCCATTACTGTGCCTGTGTGTAAAAAGGCCCTAAAGCCGTCCTCAGGTTGACCTTGGGACGACAAAGAACAGTCGGGATGGCTTTTCAGGATCAAGCTGCATCTGAGCATATGAATGACAGCAGATTCATATGAGCTACAGCCATCAGGAACCAATCAGCCGCCAATTTTCTGCGACCCGAGTGTAATTGTGACGATATTAAAACAATCGGCATCAGTCGACACTAAAAAAAGTAGCAAGAGTGGAACAATTTCAACTTTTTCAACTGCAATGTGACTTCCTGAGGACGAGAATCAATGGCAGTCGACCTGTGTGAGCATACAACATCGTGCTCACATCCGGATTATATAATCTTATTGTGAATCATTGTTGGCGACATGAGCATGGTTGCGATCATTGTGGTCGAGATGCCGCTTGTTCCAAGATAATTACAGAATTTCTCAGTTTTGTGATCTAAGCGTGACTTCTGTGGTTGATGCCGAGGGTACCGTTGTGGAGCAAGCAAATCTCAGGTCGACCCTAGGCCGGCTTTGAGCAGCCACTTACTCTGGGTATCCCTTCCATTTGAGGAGGTACTCCACCTGGCCTCCTTTCACCCTCTTGTTGAGGACTTTCTCCACCTGATATTCTTCCTCTTCTTCTTCTTCGTCTTCCTCGCTTCTCATTGGATCGTCTTCCTCCTTCTGAGCCTTCTGGGAATCCTCAGGCCTCTTTGAACTTTTACTCTTTGGGTTGCCTCTTCCCATATTTGTATTTGTGGCAATTTATGTCACTAACACAAACACAAAAAATAAAAATGCACATTAGGCATATGAAACTGGGCTTGAAATTGAAAAGTTCATTTCCAAGCTTTAATCATCTACTGAGCGTGCGTCAACTTTGGCAAAGCGCACCGCGGCTGTTGCCTGTCATTCCAAAATCTTTGGCGCTCTGTGAAGTGCCCAGATGCAATACGCGACTGCGGATGAAGAGCGCACACAAGAGGGCGCACTTCACTGCAGAGGGCTTCAAAGATTTTGGAATGACAGGTAACAGCCGTGGTGCGTTTTACAAAAGTTGACGCACGCTCAGTAGATGATTAAAGTTCTTGTTTGGTTCCCTGACCCCTTTGGCCTCTTGACTATTATTAGGGTGGCCGGGAAACATATCAGCGACACCATGCTTGCTCAAAACCGTCTGCATTCTTTGACGAATTACCATGATTTTTGGATAACTAGATCTCTGAAGGTACCGAATTTAATGATTTTGTGCTATTTAGCAGTCATACTATAGCTGGGTTGATTTTCTGCTGACAAAATAATTTCGATCTTTAATTAATTTTCGGCTCCCCTAGCAACGGGACGCTCCGCTCACAGGCCGTACGTGGCTCTGTGACTGATATACGAAGGTAGTCCAGGAGTATTTCAGTCACATTTATGGGACTATAATCAGTGTTTTGTCAGTGATATTAATAAATATTAATAAATTCTCGTCTGATTTTGTCAAACAAAAACAATTACACCTCTCAGAACCTCATGCCTATATTGTTTCTACCTTTCAATGTAATTGGTTACATGGTATTAGCTGCATTAACAACATATAATATCCTTCAATGTACAGGCGTATGAAAGCCCGGTAATCCCACATTTCACACTGGTAATTTTTCAAAATGGCGACCACCACGTTGTTTAAAAACAACCACCATGACATGCGATCGGAACACATGGTCGAAACTTTGTCAACATTTCCTCACAAAAACAACCATTAGAACTGACAGATATCTCCAGAAATTCCAACATTAAATGGAAACAAAATCACCTCAGATACAGCCTCAGGTAAAGCATGAAATTGTTTTCCAGGAAAAGTAATTACTCACGCACTTCAAACAGTTTGTGCCTTCCGTCACACACTTCACTGCATGCAAGGGCTAAGGCGGGAAAAAGAGACAGTGAGAGAAATAATTGAACTGCCTAGCGCCCTCTCACGACACTTGAAAGAAAATGCATTGGATTATGCAAATATCGTGTCGCAATCCACGTGCACATTACAGTACACTACACAGCTCCAGGCATTGCAAGATAGAAGTGCGAGCGGTTGTGGCTTTGAAATCCTGATTATTTCAAGATGTCGATGTACAATTTCAAGAAAATTACCGTCGTTCCGACGGCAAAGGTAATTATTGAACTTTTGTCATAACTTCCAGGTTATAAATTAAGAGGATTATGAGTAAAACTTAAAGTTGATTTGGAAAGAATGGGGGAATGTTCGATCCTCATGTCATCATGATCCTGACGCCACCACTTCCATGACTTCCTCAGCACTTCGTCACCGTTTTCACGAAGGGGCGAATTTCATGAAAATCGTCTGTTTTTCGAAATTTGTTTTTTTGGTGAAACTGAATAAATATATCAATATCGACAACCTGGTGAGGCTATACTTTCAAAAAATTTATTAAAATCTTAATGGACCTAATTAACGAATGGGCGAATTTGCCAAAAGTGCTGTTTTGCGTTTTCACGAAGGGTATTAATGGTATTAATAAATTTTCAGTAAATAAATACATTGTAATACAATGGCGCGTATATCACGAAGGGGCGAATTCCATGTGCGTGCAATAAAACGTTTTCACGAAGGGGCAAATTTCAAGACGCATGTGCAGTGGGGCAGAATCTGCGCGTACTGTCATGACTGTCATGACTGTACAAAAAATGCATTGACTCAGACCGCAGAAGGGCGAAATCTGCGCGTAGTCACTTTAATGTTTTCACGGAGGGGGCGAATTTTCTAATTGGTCTTAATTGATTAATTCTGCAAAACTAATCACCTTTTTTTCTTAAAGTTTGCTACATTTAGGAAGATTAGAAGCTCTTCTTTCCTCTGATACCTAAATCTTGCATATTTTATGCATCTTTAAGTTTCAAATTTTCAAATGAAAAAGGACCAACTTTAAATGTGATTATCTCGAATGTTTGTTCAGACAGTGAAATACTAAATTCGCCTCTTCGTGAAAACGGTGACGACTTGTGTACAAAGTCTATGGAGAGTCATTTCCTACCAAAATTGGAAATGTTTCTCAGTCCCGGATTCATGTCTTTTCAACATTTTTGCAGTGACTGACCTTTATTGACATGACATATGAAGAAAAAAGGGGCTTCAGGTTGCAACATTCTTTCCCCCGGCCCCGAAAGCCTGACATAGATAATTTTAAAAGCCTTGCGCTTGCAGTTGCACGTGATTTTTAAGATAAACAATTGTATTTGTACACAAAGTTCTAAATTTGAAGTGGCAGAGTGGCAAAACTTCCACGCATATGTACATGTAGATCAGAACAATTGTTTGGCCATGATGGGAATTGAGCATGTTGAGTATGCCAAAATGAACCCTTAAATTAATTTGTGCAATTTCATTTTATAATGTTAATTTTTGAAAATAAAGGACAATTAAGGCATGATACAAGTCATGTAGATCAGTCCACTTCAATGGCTTATCCCATGGTTTGTTTATTGACATGTTACACATTTATTTCCAGTTCATTAAATTAGAGAAATGCTGTGAAAAAATGGAAACATTTAAACTGAGATTTTAGGAGTACCGCAACTCAGACTCAACCTTTGAGACTTGCGACACGGACTCGGACTCGACCTGCATGACTCGAAATCAGGAGAGGGTTAAATACAGTTTCCTGATGCCACTCGATGTTTGGTGATTTGAATACAAGTCTGCTTTTTTTTAAAATTTGGTCATGATTTGGCAGTGGTAGAGTCCAAGTGAGAACCTTCCAAAGGACTCCAAATAAATCATCGCATACTCATCGCCCTCCAAAACCATCAGATTTTACCCCTAAAACATTACCCACATGAATATAGTACTTGTTAGGGTTGATTACTAAATACAGACCTACATGTACATTGTAACACTAACTCGTTTTTTTATGGAATAATTTCACCCAACAGGATTTCATTGACATAGTGTTGTCCAAGACACAACGCAAGACTCCAACGGTCGTCCATAAACACTACAAGATCAGCCGGATCCGTCAGTTCTACATGCGCAAGGTCAAATACACACAGCAGAACTACCATGATAAACTCAGTCAAATCATCAACGACTTCCCGAAATTGGAGGTTGGTTTCGAATGTTTAATTTTATAATTTAATTGATAATGATATTGTTAGTTAGTTAGCTATACAAGTGGTCTACGGATTACCAGTGTTGCTGTGATACCAGTGATACAATTGTATATTATTTCTTACTCATTTTTGTGTGCAGGACGTTCATCCATTTTATGCAGATCTCATGAATGTTCTGTATGACAAGGATCATTACAAGTTGGCTCTGGGACAGATCAACACAGCACGGCATCTCATTGACAAGTAATAAATTCCTGATGATTTCTTTTCCCTCTTTAAAAAAAAACGATACACTGGTAATGTGTGTTGTTATGATCATAGTGTATGGGAATTTATAAAACAGGGGAAAAAGAAAGAAATAATAATTTATCAATAAATGAATTTGAGAAACTACAAATCGTTGTGTCCGTCCAACGAGGTTGTATCTCCTAAAATGGCATTTACGCGAAACGCGAGTTTTAGGATGTCAAAGGTCCTATCTCGCTTAAAATAACCCGGATGTACACACAAATCAATGGACATCAAGATACGTTGTTGTTGCACGGAGCGTATTCGCACGAGATACGACTTAGTTGCAGAATCGAGTTACAACCTTGTTGCACTAACGCAACGAAATGTGACATGTATTATCAACTTGAAAATTATTGATTTGTTTTTATAAATTTATTTCCTCACTACCTCAGCGTTGCCAGAGACTATGTCCGCCTGCTGAAGTACGGTGACTCCCTGTACCGCTGTAAGCAGTTGAAGCGTGCGGCGATGGGCCGCATGTGCACCATCATGAAGAGACAGAATCAGAGCTTGCAGTATCTGGAGCAGGTCAGGCAACATTTGTCCCGTCTGCCCTCCATCGATCCAAACACGCGTACCCTGCTGCTGTGCGGCTTCCCGAACGTCGGCAAATCCAGCTTCATGAACAAGGTACAAAATTTTGTCGTCTTTTCAAAGAGTTTTTGACTGACCATCATAAACTAGGGTGAAATTGCTTGGAAAGCTCCTCAGTTCTAATATGCGTCTAATAATGATTTTAAAGGGTTTTTAATAACTCATCTTTTTTAGGTGGATCATTATATATCTTTGTGTCCAGGTTTGGACAAGTACCCTTGTCATGACGTCATCAAAGTCCTATATCAAGAGAACTAAAAGTCCGATTGCGTTGAAAGTTTGTATGTTTATAGATTTTGTTATGTTTTATCTGAAAATTGAGGTGACGTCATTACGACGTCATGTGATTTTATATAGATATTCAAGTTTTGTTGATTAACACCATATTTATGGCGTTAATTGTACATGAAAACCAACAACATCAATGCAAATGGATGGAAAAAAAAGAAGCATACCGGTAAACGTTACCAAAAAATTAAATTGCGGAAAGCCATATGTTCTGTTCATGGAACAGACACATACCTCTAGTTATGTATTTGCAATGCTATGGGGTTTTAAAAAATTGTTTAAAATTGTCTTGATGTACTTTGGTTTTTAAGGATGTACTGCTATGTGAGGTTGTTTTTAGCGTAAGGTGGTATATAAGAAATTATTATTATTATTTGTTATTAGAAATGCATTATTAGTATTGTAGTCGACGTACATTCAGTTATGATAGATCACAAGTACATTAAAAGTAGAGACACAAGTAAGTCACAAATAAAATTCATGAGTCTGGTCTCAAATGCAAGAAGTAGGATGAACAATAACGAGGGAATACTTGTTTTCACAATTTATTTGAATAGCTTGTGTCTTGACCATCACAAGCACTCCTGTAACAAAACTGGTATTTATTGGTATTTACTTGTCAAATATACCTCTTAGGATAAGCCATCCAGTCAGAATTACGTCAAGCAAACTCTCATCCATTGTCATTTCTCTCTGACTTCACCAGGTAACAAGAGCGGATGTGGAAGTAGAACCCTACGCCTTCACCACCAAGTCCCTCTATGTGGGCCACATGGACTACCGCTACCTGCGCTGGCAGGTGGTCGACACACCAGGCGTTCTGGATCACCCATTGGAAGACAGGAACACCATTGAGATGCAAGCCATCACCGCGCTGGCTCACCTACGGGCGGCTATACTCTACGTGCTGGACGTGTCGGAGCAGTGTGGACACTCTGTGGAAGAGCAGGTAATTTGTATGGAAATGCCTGCCATGTGGGTTTTATACACAGGTACCCCCTCATCAGATCATTGATAAAAATAAAAACAAAGATAGATTGAGGAGTACCCCATGTTGCCAGGGGGAGTGTGGCCTAGTGGTTAAGGTTTGAGACTCATGGTCGGGAGTTCAAATCCAGCCGATGGTCATATGTTGTGTCCTTGGGCAAGCCACTTGACCCCCACTTCCCAGTCTCCTCTCTGGAGTATAAATAGGTAGCAGCATTCGCTGGGGAGTAATCTCTGATGGACTGGTATCCAATCCAGGGGGAATAGAAACCGGAGATAAATGCCAGCGTGATGGGCCATATTGCCTCGTGTCAGACTTTTGATTTTTTCTTACCATGTTGCCATGTGCCATCACTCATTGGAGTTGTGGACTCTACCCACAAGTATTCCCTCAATGGTTAGGAAAAAGAGAGTTTGAAGGGACTCCTGCGCTCATTGCCTCAATATGCGTCTGTGCATGCAAAGCTTCACAGATGATACAGGTCAATGCCACTAATCTTTACATGTGTGCAGAAAGGAGTGGTTCATGTGCCGTCAAAATGAAATTATTCTTTTGTACCATACACGTGCTAACTAGTGTATGCACGCAGTGTGTCTTCTCATGAGTGATACTGAAGCACTATCTGCTGTTCACAAACTGAGTCCATGTGGTACATGTAGTACGTTAAGTCAG